GCAAAGCGTCGGGTTCAAAAACTCAATTTGGCCAGAGCCCAAAAATTAAATGGTACAGTTATAAGTGACTATTTCGAGAACTTCGATAGATTTTATATGAGAAAGGCTTCGCAGGGAAAACCTGCTCAAATTTACAACGTGGACGAAAAAGGATACCAGCTTAAAATGCATCACCAACAAACTGTATTGGCTAGTAAAGGTGCTAAAAGGGTGCATATCGTTGCACCAGAGCACGGCGAAAATATAACAATCGTGGCATGTGGCAACGGCATAGGAAACATCATTCCGCCACTTATCATTATGAAACGGCAACGAGTTAAACCAGAATGGTATTGTAATCTTTCAGCAGAAACAAAAATTATAATGACCAAGAAAAGGAAGCATGACAGCAGATGAATTTATACAGTGGTTAGGTCATTTCTGTCGATTCAAAAATCATGGACCGGCCCTTTTAATTTTTGATAGAGCTTCATCTCATTTAGACATTAGAATTGTAGAAGCTGCAAAAAAAAAATGTAACTCTGTTTTGTCTACCGTCCAACACCACCCATGAGCTTCAACCACTCGATAAAGCAATCTTCAGGAGTTCTGAATCTTACTGGAATGAGGTATTAAATTTTTGGGCGAACCATAATAACGAAAGTACCATTAACCGAGCAGATTTAGGCAAATATTTTACGCCGGTTTGGAAAAACACAATAACGCAAAAAATATTTGTTCTAGATTTGAAGCAACTGGAATATGGCCATTCAATCCAAATGCTATTTCGGATACTGCCTTTGCACCTAGTTTTCTGACACAACGAGAGATTGAAACAATCGCCGAAGATTTTCAAGAAAATCCTACAACCCAACCAGAAATTGAAACAACTGGCAAAAAGAATACAAATTTCGAAGAACAGCTATCCTGCAGCGGTGTAAACAAAAATAATAAAAGCAAAGCATTCTCGAGCAGTAAGAAAAGGAAAATTACCAAAAAAAAGAACTCACAAAAGTTTTTCAAACTTAATCTCAGATGAAGACAGTGACTCATCTGGGTCTTACACAAGTGGTACAGCTTCCAGCGAGGATTATAGTGATGCAGTTTACACGCCAAATAAATATGATAAAAATAAAGTTGCAAAAATAATTGAAACAGCCATGTGAAGAACTAACATTTAGTGCACAATCTCATAGCTCAGCAAAACCAAAACCGAATTTAAAAAAAAGATTCATGGTACTGTTTCTTGTGTGATGAAGGTAGAGTGGCTGATATGCTCAAGTGTGTTTGTTGTAATAAGTATATCCACGAGGAATGTATAGGATTAACAAAAGACGATAAGGATATATTTGTATCTCCTCGATGTGTGTAAATGTGCGATATATGTACTTAATGTATTGACAATTTTTTTTTAATATGAATAAACGTTTCTTTCACTAAACTTTGTATTTATTCTTTAATTCTTAGGTTTAAAATTTATTATCCACGTAAATTTCTTTAAAAAATGGAACTGGCCTTATTAAGTTACCAGTTCCAAATAAGGCCAAATATTCAAGATTTATTGAATGTTAAAATTTTATTTCTTTATTTACTTATTAAGTATTTTATCGTAAAATTCGATAGCTAAAATGTTAGGCAATACGTAGAAGACGTAGTTTTCCCCCATATTTTTGCTGAATAAAATATTACAGACATTTAAACCTTAACGTAGCCTTAATTGGCGTCCTTACCTTATGTAGCAAAAAATTAATTCAATTAATCAAAAGGTCCAGTAGAATGAGTTATTTATAAGTTCTTAATAAAAATATAATAAAAACCAAAATCAAAACACTTACTTTAGATAAAGTGGGAAATGATCAATTTTATTTCAAATCAAAGTAATAATTCCGTGTCTGATTTAATGTGCATTTCTATATAATCTCACTAGTATATCTAGTTATTAATACATATCCCCTTAAGTAGCATACTTATGATTAGAACAAAAAAGTTGAAAATAAAACACTGTGCCTTATCATTCTACATTAGTATCTAATGATAATTATACATATGTGGATTTATAAGTACTAGTTAATATTTCATTAATTATTTAACTTATACCCCTTTTTTCAACTTCAATGTGGCGACTGCCCTAAAACTTACATCGGTCAAACTGGTAGAAACTTTAATAAACGAATAGCAGAACATAAAAGGGCTTTCAATAATAGAAAAAGAGATTCGACATACACACTTCACCTTCTAGATCATAATCATTCTTTTAATAACAAATTTAAAATTCACGTTCAAATAAAGGCCTTAAGCTATCTTTTGTCAGAAATCTACGGAAATCAAACAAATTTAAAAAACACAGATATTTAATTTTCTGAATGACCAACTTGAGACAAACAGTTCTCCCCTCCTCAACCTATTTAATAGAAACTATAAATTGTTAAACACATGCCAAAAATAGATCACATTGAGAAAAGGCAAATCAGCCGAAACAGCTGTAGTGATAAAAGTTAAAATAAATTTTGTGGAAGTTAGAAAATGAAGTTTTCAGTGTTTTATTGTTACATAAAATGAATTTCCATCAAGTAACGGTCGAATCCATCAATGAGTTTTTTGTTGATTCTAAAAAATCATCTTTTTTGAGTTACGACACTATTGTATTATTAGTGCGATATATTTCATTTCTCCATCTTCACACCCTCTCAGGGGCCATCACCAGACCTCAAAAAAAATAAAATAATTAACTCTTTGCAAAGTAACTTTTCTACAACTATAACCAGTCTGACATAAATAGGTAACAGCCTCCAAAAAATTATGGAAAACTCTGTAATTCTTGGATACGAAGAAAAAAACAAATTAATTTTTTTAGTTTACAGAATGACCACAAATCATAGCCAATATAGCAATGTAGCATTGAAAAATGAGCTATAATCCATCCAAAATGGTCTAGAATTTAGAGCAGCATTAAAAAAGTATGATATTCCCAGAGTTACATTAATGAGAAAATTTAAAACAAAAATTGAAAAGTTTACTGCCAAGAAGAGATGCTGGTAAAATGGATAAATTCTATGGCAAAATCAGGTTTTCCCGCATCTAAAGGTTCTCTCCTATTTAGTGTTGAAAATCTTGCTAGAGAATGCAAAGTGAAATTTCCAAATGGAACTATGCTGGGAAGAAAATGGTATGAATGTTTTATAAAAAGGCATCCAATGATAGTTAAAAGAACTGGTTCAAATTTAACAGTACGCGAAGAAGTGTGGACTCAACATCAGATTGATGAATGGTTTAATATTTCAGGATCCAATACAAATTTTTAACAGTGATGAGACAGCATTCTTCCTTAATCCCAAACCTGGTAAAGTACTTGCAGAACTCTTTTCTGGCCTAATGAGTCTAAATGAGAGGCCTAATGAGTGGCGAAAAGAATTCGAAGAAAGGAAAAGACTCCAACTGTAGTTACATCTCCACAAATGTTTGAATATTATAGAAAAAAGGTAGAGAAAAAAGACTTATAGAACAAGAAAAAGAGAAGAAACGAGCAGACAGGGAAGAGAGGAAAAAAATCAAGTTGCAAGTAGAGCTTGCAAAGAGAAAAATAAACCAATTTCTCGATCATCATCATCAAATGACAGTGATGCCAGCTTACCAAATTCGGTAGAATCTGATTGGCAAGAAGAAGAAGAAGATGATGATGACCAGAATGTCATGAGAACTTTAATTGAAGGAGGAACATTAAAGAAGAGGACTTTATTCTAGTTAAATCTATGGGGGAAAAAGGAATACTTCAATATTTATATACCTGTGCTGTATGCAGCAAAATAATGACTATGAAATAAAAGTCATGGGTTTAAATCATGTGACTCAACATTACAAAAATTTGTGGCAGATGAAGGATTATTTCAGTAATTCATTTAAATGACATTATTGATGTCTTAACAGCTCCAGAGATAACTATAAAAGACAGGAAACTAACATATGTATTCAAAAGAAAATTGCGAGTCAAAGAAAAATGATGTAGAATAACTTCAATCACCTATATTTAGTTCAAAATAAAATTTTATTCATCTCTTGAGTTGTATTTTTAAAGTAATACTAGTGCACTGATAATGCACTAGTATGGGGGGTCCATAATTGGTTAAAAAAAATGCTATGTTCATAATTGGTTCAAGTACCTTGATAGGTAATTAATCAAAAAAAAAACATTTTTAATCATATAACAATAAAAATCACACCAACTATATCTTAGCAAAGGGTCGAAATTTGCCAAAAATTATATCAAATTGAAATTCTTGCTTTATGTTTGACTGCAGTGTTTCCTTAACTGGTCCATCATTGGTACATCTATCTTAATGGAATACCTTAATCAGAAAAAAAATTTAACAGTAACAAACAGTTAAATGAACAATTTTAAAGTTTTAAACAAACTAACTTCAATGTTAACCCGTGATTACAGAAAAAAAAAACAATATAAAAAATTGAAGTCCTAATTTGACCTAAATTGATAAAAATTGTGAAAAAATGCATGCATAAAATTGTCAAGGAACTTTGTTTTTAGATCTAGGTAATGATCTAGAGAAGAAGTGAAAAAGAGAAGTGTTATTTTTGGTAGACCTACTGTTTCAGCTGTATAAAATATGTAAATATTTTACATATTCTTATGTAAAAATGGAAATGTATAAAAAACAGGCCCCAGTGGAACTTAAATCTAAGATTTTTTTCTAAAACATGTATGTAAATATACATACATAAAACATAATGTAGAATCTTTAACTGTAATTTAAGATTAGAAATAGGATACCTGAATATATTTTCATGTTCTATATTACTTGACCAAATCCGTTATTAAAGAACTGATAAAAAACTCATTTAACTTGACTTAATATCTGGGATCCACAACAAGATTTTTGTGTTGGTCACACACATGCATATGAAGAAATATTATGGTATATAAAAATATTAGCAAACACTTGCAAACTATAATTTTATAATTTAACTTCATAAATGAAATGTTCTTTGTACTCCTTATATGTAACACACTATTTATAACATTCTGCCCTTATATGGCCAAATTTTCCACAGTTATAACATTTCTGTGATTTTTTTCTATGAAAACAATCTGCTGTAGTATGGTTGTATTTGTCACAAATAGAACACTTTTGTAGGTCCAAGCGTTCTTCTAAACTCCTCTTTTTTCCTTTTTCAGGAAATTCATCCTGTTCGTGAACAGGTTCGTGGACAGGTTGTGCTATACCAAAATTCGGTAATTGCACCAAAAATTGAGCATAAAATGTTTCTGGAGATATAAAATTTTGTTCTCTTGCATATTTCTGAAGATCTGGATCATTCAATCCATCAATCAAGCATGATACAGCATTACTTCCAGATATTTTACAAGCTTCTGCCAAATACATCTTTGAAAAATAGTATTGTGTAATTGTTTCACTAGGTTGTTTTAGTCTGTCAACTAATAATCTTAATGTACTTGCAAAATCGACTGTATCTGGAAAAGTTTGTATAATTAACATTTTTAGTTCTGGCCAAGTGAACTCAAAAGCATCAATAGTTTTGAACCAAGCTTTCATTAAGCCAGACAAATTAGACTGTAGAAAATTTATACACATACGATCATCAAAATTTTTCTCTAAACAATCAATACTAATTTTATTGAGCCAAGCAGATGTCATTAAATTAAAACTCCTTCCTACCACCTCCACAGAAGTACCTTGTGAGGGGACAAAATCTGATGATTTAGGTGTGGGTTTTGTATTTTCAAGTGTATTTTCCACTAGTTTTTCTACCATTTTTTCTAAACGACTTAATCGACTAGATCTACTTTCTTTATGATCACATTTATCATGTGTTCTTTCTTCGTGATCTGATTTAGTTGCTCCATATCCTAATCTATCAAACACTGGTCTTTTATCTTTTTCTGACCTATCATTGCTGGATTTTCGCTTTCCTCTATATTCCCTTCTTCCATCATCATAAGATTTACCTTCATAACTTGGCCTATCTCGATATCTTCCACCTTCACGATCACTATTAGATCGTTTGTCTCTATAATCTTGTCTCTCATTACTGTGTACCAAATCTTGAAAATCACACACGGAGGGGTCTAGACTTGCATCCACAGAAACCTTGTTTTCAGGATGCAAACTTCTGGAATCTCTTGTTTCATAGGAATTGTCACGACTGTTGTAATTGGTCGTTCGTCTGACTTCATCCCTAGGTGTGCCATTATTAACAAATTCATCGATATCACTTAATGAACTTATGCTAAGTGTGTCTGATATTCTACTACTTCTAGTATCTCTACTTTTATACATGTTCGTTTAGATTGCTGTCTTCAAAGAAATACTTATTCCATACCCATCCAGGAATTGTCTGAAAAACACAATATAGCACTTTGTATTTTATCTTCAGTGAAAAATTTATTTCTGATTTAGAAATTACACATACACGTTTAACTTTTAACCACGCACATTTAAACAGCAAATAACAGTTCTAATTTCTAATATTCTAATTCTAACACACCAGATCGTCCAGATCAGACACTGCATCAGACTAATAAAAATGAATAAAAAAACACTGAAATCGAAATCCATAGAACAGGAATAAGCATAAATGGAGGACTGACGCTGACGACTGACGTCTGAGGCACTCTGAGGCGATGGCGAACCTTCCGTATAGGCAACCAATATTTGCAATGTTCCTGTATCTCCTAAAACCAACATCAAATTATTTAAAAAATAAGCCAAAATACGAAAATAGAAGAAAATCATTCTAAAGATACATAACAATTTTAAAATATGTAAATATATGTACATGTATTGTAATATGATATATAGTAATGACTTTTTAAGTTCGAATATTGCAGTAGTATAGTAGGCATGGTACCATGGATGCATTCGGGAGCAAGATCTCCAAAAGAGGAAATGCGTTCGGATGTGCTCCATCTACCCTAAATCCAACACTTACTAGGTACGATTCACATATGATATGATGGAGTTATGCACTGTGAATACGGAGAGGGTACAACCCCCTCGCATTCACGGATGACCTCGCTGTACTGGTATGGTAGTGGCCCGGGATGAGCCAGATCTCAAATACCAGGTTCGGAACGCAGGCCGCGTCGTAAAGAAATTGATAACGCAGCATGGACTAAAACTTGCGACAAAGAAAACCGAAGCCATCATTCTGAAGGGTAGGTACAACGAACAGGCAAAGTATTGAATTACAATGTGCGGGAGCACGTCTAACGCCCAAAAAACAAGTAAAGTATAAGTATAATACCTAAAATAGGAGTGACATTGCACCAGAATGGAAAATGGGGGAGCACATGCGGGAGGTGGTCCAGAAAACTGCGAATAGTGTGGCTGCGTTGGGGAGGGTGATGCCCAACATTGGAGGGCCAAAATCCGAACGTAGGAGGGTCTTACACGGTGTTGTACAGTCGATCGTCCTCTACGCGGCACCAGTCTGGTGGGAGGCGGTAGAAATAACGGCCTATATCTGTTGCGGAGTGGCATGTGCCTACAGGACTGTGTCTGCGACAGCCTTGTGAACCATCACTGGATGTGTTCCGTTGCATGTTTTGGCGGTGGAAAGAAAAGAGCTCTATGAGAGAAGAGGCCCAACTATTACTGTGGCCGAGAGAAGACAAGAAAGGGAAAGGTCAATTGAAAGATGGCAAAAAGAATGGAACAACACTGACTATGTGGCACAGTGGCCGAAAATGCTGATTCCGAACATAAGAGATTGGGTGGACTGTGGCCACAGACGACTGGATTATTTCCTGACGCAGGTGCTTACAGGACATGGGTGTTTGGGGCCTATTTCTCTAGGATCGGAAATGCTGACACAGATGAATATCTATACTGTGGATACTCGAACAGTGTGACATATACGATTTAGATTGCAGCAGATGGATAGTGGAAATGAACAGAATGGAGAGAGAGACAGGTGTAAATTTTGTTACAGTGAGAGAAATGATTGAGAGATTGATTGAAAATAAATCAGGTTGGACTAACATACCTATACAGCTATATCCGTGCAGTGATCAAGAAAAAGGAAGAGGAAGAATGACAGCTGGACTAACAGCAAAGGTAAGAGTGAAAGATGCTGAAAGTTGAAGCTAGAAAAGTGGGTGAGACTGTATGAGTTAACGAATTAGGAGCGATGAGGGCCTTCCACGCGCTACCTGGAACGAGACAGGGAGCCTCCTTGCTGATGAATAGAGTGTGGATGTGTATGAATGGAGAATGAATTCAAATAGAGTTTTATTTTTTCGCTAATTAGTATCAACAAAAATTCTTTATCCTTTTTATATCTTAAACGAGGTGCTTAATATGTTCCTTGTATTTGCAGTGTAGTGCTCTCAGTACAGTAGGAGTCAGAGACTTTGGATTTGCGCAATTCTATGCTCCTTTTTTAAATAAACTAAAGATGTCAAAATCCAAAAAATTCTAGTCCCCTTCTAGACCCCCTAGGCACAGAATAAATAACAATCAGAATGCCGACTCTCCGATGCTGTCTTTGAAGTTTGTCAGCACGCGAACGTCATGTTTTAGACGGAAACATAGACTCGAATTGAGAAATTTGTGATAAGCTACGACAGAATTGTAATTTAAATTTTTAGAGATTAATGATTTAGTACATTTGAAATAATTTAATCTATTCTTCAACTAAAAGTACGAATAAAATAGTGCATGTTATGTCTGTAGTTGCCGTAAATAAATTAAACCGGGTTCATTTATCTATGCACACCAGAAAAATGTCACTGAACAGCACTGGTTCCGTTTAAAACAAGGCTGATTCCGTCTGCGCGTACTTATTTTTTCAAGCAGAGTGGGTATTCTGATTGTTTATTATTATGTGCCCTTACTATATTCAAAGAATATAGACGCATATGCAGATGCGTCTATATTCTTTGCTATATTTATTACCAATCACAGGGCCGTATTTACTTGCTCATTCTGTACGTAGTGGGATCGGCGAATATGTCCCCTGCGAATAAATATGCAGCATAGCTGCACCAAAGTTTATGGCTAAATAAGAAGAGTTCTTAAAGCATTAAACTGGGGCTACATCAGAGATATGTAAGAGAGGGCTCTCTTACATATCTCTGGGCTGCATCCAAGGGCTGCACCAGAGTATATACCCCCCACCAGAGGATATATATTTTTTTATGTACTATGGGCTGCACCATAGAGAAATGCTGCACTCTGCAGTGACCACTTGTCTTGAGAATTGAGATATAATCACAATACAATACTTGACAATACAACAGAATAATAAACAATCAGAATGCCCACTCTCAATGGAAAATTAAGTACGGGCATCTCGTTCGCGCAGACCATCTTGTCTATCTGTGGCGCAGACGTTCCGCCATGTTTTAAAGGGAACCAGTGTTGTTTATGTTGTGTGCATAGAAAAATTAACCTGGTTTAATTGACTTACGGCAATCATAGACATTCTATACAATTTTATTAACATTGTTAAATATAATAACATAAATATAATATAATTAAACATAAATATGAACTATCGAGTTAGAATCTAATTTAAACAATTACATAACCTCACAAATCATATGTCTGTGTTATGTGTTTCCTTCTAAAACATGGCACGCGTCATGATACTATAATAAGAAGATAAGATATTGCGCATAAGTCGTGGCGTCATTGGAGAGTTACACGTTCGAAATGTCAGTTTTTTGTATGTGTCAATAAATAATCTTTAATAAAATAGTTTGGAGATATCCTTATGTGTACAATTATTGTAATTATTGAACTTCTCAACTTATTTTCGTCCAGTAATTTCATCACAGAATCCATACAAATCCCATTTAACTTTAACAAGAATTCAAATTCTACTCTCTAATGACGGCATGCGCGAACACGACCGATTTTGGGCTACGGGAAGATCCTATCTTGTTATTCATAGTATCATGGCACGCGTGCTGAAAAACTTCAAACGCGGTATATGAGAGTGGGCATTCTGATTGTTTATTATTCTGTGACAATACCACAGAACACAAATCAGTTGTTCTGTGACAATGTGACAGAAACATTTTTGACGTCTGAAGTGTCGTGTCTCGTGTCTTATATTTGACGTTTTGTCGATTTGATCACCTTTAATTATCAACAATAACCCGAATTGTTATTGTTATTATATATCCATTTCTATAGCACTGGATTTTAAACCTATATATTTTTCTGTGTTAATTAATCTGTTTATTAATTCAAATCATGTACTAAAGGTAAAGAGACTTGCAAAAACAAAGATATGGATGTGAAAGAGGAACCAATAGACACATTCTTCAAAGAAAACTTTGAAGAAAACTCAAAATTTTTAAATATAAAACAAGAATCAATTAGCAACAATAAAATGCGTTTACAGAAGATAGGGAACGTTAAAGTTGAACTGGATGATCAACCTTTTAAAACAGATATTAGTGAAGATTTCTTTGAAAACTGCAGAACTGTGATGGATAGGTCTGATTTATATAACCATCAACTAAGCGGTGATACAAAATCGGAAATTTTAAGTGAAGACTTTTATGTGCCTTCTATTAAAACTGAAATAGATATACCCGATTTTGTAGGAACACAGCCAAGTAGCAGTAAACCTTACAAAGATCTAAAATATAATATAAAGTTAATTAAGAAGAGCATTTATGAATGCCCGGTTTGTTTAAAAAGTAAGTAAATTATCACAAATGCCAAAATATGTCGTAACTGTTAACAGAAACACTGATTGTAAATTTGAATTTTCTTTTGTTAGTTTTACATACTGAAACTATAAGTTTTTTCACATTCCTTAGGTTTTCATATGTACAAATATATCTTTATAGATCTTTATATAATCTGTCTTAGTATAATGTAATATAATCGAATTTCTGTCTTGCAGGTTGTTATATCAGGTTTTTCATATATTTGCAGCTGCTGTTTCATATTTCAGTGTGGTATACTCGGTTTGCTATTCCTAGTCTGAACTGTCTAGTGAATGTAGTAATTATTTTTTTGCGAAGTTAGTTACTTTTTGACAGGCTAGAAGTGGCTGGAAATTACTATACAACCAAGCACACATACTCATAGCCAATATTAAGAGTAAACAAACTAAATAGTAAATATAAATAATAGAACTTTGTGAATTACTGACAATCAATATTTATTTGTCTGCACCATATAATATTTAGCTATGTTAAATTATAACAACTAAAATATATTTTTTTAATATACACTATATACACCCAAAATTTGATTGATTTAGTATACACTTCCACTATTTAGAATAATTCTTCTTTTTTCAAAGAAAGAAGTCTGCAATAGTAGTATACTTGAACTATTAATACTGAGAAGTAGGAATTGTTGTGTTGTAGGTTTCTGACAATGAATCTGTCAAAATATGCCTGAGCTAAGTGAATGGAGTATATTTCTATATGTTTTTATTGGCTTATATCTTTGATGGCATTTATGGTCACCTTAATATCACCCATAAAGTTGATATTGCAGAAGGAAAGTTATATTAGGATTACAATTATGATCCAAATTGGTTGCAAGACTATCCAGTATTTAAAAAAATGACCCAGAAGATGATAAGGATGAAGTCCTAGTCAAAACTATTTTAAGCTGTTAGACCATAATTGTTTCTCTGAAAGAATAAAACAGTTGGAACATCTGTTTATCAACTATATCGAGTGAAAAGCAGACTATTTAAAAAAAAAAAACAAAAGTCATGAATTTGTTATTTATTTAATTTATTAAACATACAATTACAGATCCTGAGCAAAGGCTGTGTGGGTCAAACTAGAAAAACATACAATAAAAACACCAATATATATGTACTTTAATAAATACTTTAAGGTGATATGTCACAATGTTAATATTTATATACTTTTTAGGTACAGTTATCATCACTATTTCAAAACAAATCTTCAACTTATGATTATGTATGTAAACTTTGTATTTTAATGATATCTAATTAACATTTCCAAAGAAAGCAGTATTTTTTTCATAACTGTACTTAAATGAATCCATGTCATAACTTATGTGGTAACATGCCTAAAAATTGGTATTGTGAAATTAATCATTAAATGATTAACTATCCAACTTTATTTTAAGCACATATTCGTTATCCATACTGCCGTAATTTTTAAATTAACTGTACCTAAAGATAAAATTACAATTAAAAGCTGCAAACTAGGGATTTTGTTGATGTTACTATAATAAGTTGGCATTTTGATAGTGAGAAATTAGTTCAGCTATCACTTAATAGATGAGAAAATAAGTTCACATGTCATTTAGTAAAAGGCAACAGTGATGTATTAAATAGCCATAGATGCGCATTTGCTAAATTTAAGAAAAATCTGCAAAACATTGAAAACTAGTTTTGTGGCTATACCAATTGTCTGAGTTATGCAGTAACCATGGTAACAAATCACATGCTTTTGTTAGCAAAGCGCCCTCCCAGTCAATATTTTGGCTTCATTTGACTTTCTATGTTCAGTCATGATTGTATAACGGAACAATGTTTTAAATATACAAGAATACCATTTTTTCCTTGGCACCCTGAAATTATATAATCATGGTTGAAAGTCAAACTATGGTCAGTGAAGTTTACTGCGGGATTATACTGGTTTTTACATAATACATAAACATAAAAATAATTCCAGTTTTATTAAATTTTCAACAAATTTAATTTTGTAGGCTCCGTTAATAAATAATATTGTTCTAGTTTTCTTAAGTTTATTTAGCGGAAAGAAACACTAATTGTACATAATTCGACATAATAGTTTCATAACATTCAGATGGCCATAATTCATAATCACAAGTGTCAAGTCTAAACATAAAGTGTGTGGTTATCTTCTTTTTTTTCAAATTGAGTGACAATCAGATCTGTCAATGGCGCGAAATTCAAATAAGACTACAGTTCGGCCATCCTGACACGTCTGATCGTCCTCGATCAACCTAATATTACAGTATATTAATTACATAACTAAGATATTTAACATTCATGACTTTCATAAGACATAACATAATGGATATTTGAAATGAACATTTTCCTTTAAAGTTTAAAACATACAGTAATAATAATAATAATTCATAATGAGTTAAATAAACAAATCATAATAATCATAATTCATAATGGTTTAAATAAGCAAGGCATAACATTCATAATAGTTTAAATAAGCACGACATAACATACATAATGGATTGAAGTGTCCATAGGGGTACAAATGGAAATCATAATATCCATAACACACCCTAACTGTCTCGATGTAATGGTACAAGTAATGGATTATAAATAAGCATAAACATAATTGAATAAAAATTAAACATAATTATTTTAACCCTAACTAATAATGAAATTGATTATTTATCATAAGCTCTAATCCTACTACTGTCTATAATTCCCTCATATGGTACTTGTGTTGTTTGGAACCCAACAATATCATTCACAATATACCTATCATTTGGTAGCTCTTTCACAATCTCATACGGTCCTCTAAATTTTGGTATAAGTTTTTTAGCTACTCCAGGGGTTGTGTCTACGTTGGAAATCATAACATATTGCCCCACCTTAAACTTTTGAGCCTCCTTATGCTTCTTGTTATAATACTGTTCATTTACATTTTGTGCCTTAATTATTTGTGCTTCTGCCTTAGTTCGAATCATTTCTAAATCCCGTTCTTCCTTATCAATATCTTGTAATGCTTCTCTTAAATTATCCCTAATCTTTCCTATTTGATCTCTTCCAAAAAGTAACTTAGCTGGGGTTTCTCCTGTTGATCTGTTTATTGTATTATTGATGCAGAATTCCACTTCATGTAATGCATTTGGCCAGTTGATTTGTTTTTCATCGGTTATCTTTGCTAGAAGAGGTGTCAATAACCTGTTCATGCGTTCTATTTGCCCATTGGCTCTCGGACAACCACTTGCAATCAGTATGTGTTTGATTGTATACTCCTCCAAAAATTTCTTAAAATCATGAGAGGTAAAACAAGATCCTCTGTCTGAACTGATAACGCTCGGTACACTATAATTGGCAAAATGTTCAGTTAAATATTTAATTACTTCTCCTGTATTTGTTGATTTGCAAGGATAGAACTTAATAAATTTAGTAAACCCATCAACAACTTCAAATATATATTTATTCTTATTAAAAGGAGCTAATGGCCCATAGTGATCAATATGAAGCATTTCAAAAGGTAAATTGCCCTTAGGTATACTATGTAGATATCCTTCTGATTTGCCACTTTTAGGATTGAATTCAATACACTTTAAGCAATTTTGAATATGATTTCCAATCTTAAATTTTAATTTTGGAAACCAATATGTCTTGGAAATAATTTCAAATGTTTTGTCTGTTCCGAAATGACCCAATTCATTATGATAGTGATAGATAACTGCTGACTCCATACTCTCTGGTACATAAAATGCAATGTTATCTTTCAGTTTTCTATATACTAACCCATTTCTTAATTCAAAGAAAGGATGATCTGTCTCCTCAAGTCTTTTTCGAAGATCTGAAATAACTGTATCCTTGGACTGTTTTAAAGCCAAAGTTTGTTCAATAGTATTTCCTTCTAATACCAGTACATAACTCACTCTGCTTAAGGCATCTACATGTTGCATTCTTGTATTTACTCTGTGCTCAATAGAGTAATCATAATTTTGCAATAACAAACACCATCTCATAATCCTTGGAATTATATCCTTTTTACTCATGGTTAAGCGAAAACTGTCACAATCTGTAACTATTTTGAAAGGGATTCCCTGTAGATAAACATGAAACCGTTTAAGTGCATACACAATACTCAAGCATTCAAGTTCGTAGCTATGGTAGCGAGACTCATAGTCAGTTGTTCTCTTGCTAAAGAAAAACACTGGGTGAAATTTGTCATCACTTTGTTTCTGAAGTAAAATTGATCCATAGCCTACTTGGCTTGCATCACAGTGTAGTTCTGTTTCCCTACTCGGATCATAAACTGCTAAAATAGGTTCTGATGTCAGTTTTGACTTCAAATTCTCAAAAGCTTGTAAATGTGTCATTGTAAATTCAAATTTGACATTTTTTCGTAATAGGTCATATAACGGCTTGGCGATGATAGAGAAGTTCTGTATAAAACGTCTAAAATAACTGGCAAGGCCTAAGAATCTATGCACCTGCTTGGTATCTGTAGGAACTGGATACTCTGCAATAGCTTTCACATTATCTTTATTAGGACATATACCATTTTCATTAATCCTGTAACCCAGAAAATCTATTTCTGTTTTCAAAAATGAACATTTATCTAGTCTTAACTCAAGTAAATTCTGGCTAACTAATATTAAAACTTCTCTTAACACTTCTAGATTTTCTTCGATAGTCTGAGTAGCAATTAATATGTCATCAAAATATATTAAAACATTTCCTTGTTGGCACAAATCTTTAAAAATTTTATTAACAAACCTTGCAAAAATAGAGGGACTTGAGCTCAAACCAAAAGGTAATTTAAGAAATTCATACTGACCTGAAGGTGTAACGAATGAAGTATACTTAGTACAACTTTCATCTAAAGGAACATGGTAAAAAGCATTTTTCAAATCCAATTTAGAGAAATATTTCTTATTCTTTAACCTGTCTAAATGATCATCTATTAGCGGCAAGGGAAATTGATCTCTAATAAGATATTTATTTAAAGTACGATAGTCTACACACATTCGATATTCATTTGACTTCTTCTTGGTTAATACTACTGGTGAACAGAAAGGTGAATCACTTTCCCTAATGACATTATTTTCTAATAAATTAGCAAGAATTTCATCCAATGACTTTTTCTCTGCATAAGATAGTCTACGTGGTCTGATACTAAAAGGTTCATTTTTAGTTAAAGTAAGCTGTGCTTTGAAATCACACTGTGGTTTTAATGGTTTATCATAATCAAAGTAATATGACTTCAATAAAGTTTGAACACTAGTAGTTATTTCAAAAGGTAAACAATAATTAATATTCAAGTCTGCATCTAAATTTACCATATCGTTAATAAACAAAACATCTGTAAAAGGAAACTGATAGTCCTCCTCTGTTTGTACACAAGAGTTTTTATTTATTTTAAAAGAACCATTTGAAAAACTTATATTTTCTATGGATTCATTGTTTATAAAATCTCGACCCAAAAGTAGATTCCAACTAAAAGAATCTTTCTCAACAACATAAAATTTTAAATTTACTGATATGTCATCAAAAATAACTGTGTCATAAAAAAACCCTAACACTTTTAAAGGAGATTTATTTATACCTGAATAAGATTCAATATTAGTAGAAGAAATAATATCTTCTGCCTTTACAAAATTTTCTGATATCAATGATATTGGACTCCCTGTATCTATTATACCATTTAATGTTATGCTATACTTATCTAGAACCAGGTTTAATACAAAAGGATCCGTTTGGCTCATAGGACGTTCCACTAGACCCATGGCTCCATTACTATCTCGGGTAGTTGAATCTGCAACTTGTTGCACCACTTGCTGGTTTCTATTAGGACAGTCTCTTACCATATGATCTTTGCTTCCACATCTAAAACATGATCCCCTATCACGCTTGGCTTGTCTGCACTCTGTCACTTTGTGTCCGGTACGACCACAATTAAAGCATTTTACAGGAACTGGCATCCGACCCTGTGTTGCTGTATGAGGTTGGTTCTGGCTAGAACTTACCCTATAACTTGATGCTGTAGCAAACCTTTGTCCACTTCCTGATACCTCATCTTTAACAACACTCCCCATTAACTTATATAAATCTTCAGTGCTATTGAGTGTGGATAACATCATTTTGGCTTGATTTTGAAGTAGGCGATCATCAAACCCATCAATCAGATAATGTATCATATCTTCATCCTCAACTCCTGCTTCGTTGCCCAGTAACAGTTTGTCATGGAAATATGCTGAAAAGCTTTCACTCTTTTTCCACCTTCTAGTCTCCATCTTTCTTCTCGACGACACTGGATCATAAGTTCTCCCATACATTCTCCTAATTTCATTTTTTAAACCTGTCCAATCTGTGGAAATTAAATTTGGTTTGCTGAGGTACCATTCCTTCGCTTTTCCGGTCAATTTTCCAATGACTAACAGTTGTAAAATATCAGTTGGAACATTATACACAGTTTTGATTTTTTCTATTCTTTCTAACCATATTGCAACATTCTGGCTTTTGTCTGTGCCTGAAAATTCCGGCATTAAATTTGATAATTCACTGTTAGTAATTTTTATGGGGTTATGTGTCGGCATCTGATTTTCTGGACCGGCAATTTTCTTTTTCTCTTCATAATCGAGGATTGCCTGTACCGCTGTATGAACAATTTCAGCTATACTCGCCTGAGCGACGGTGTTTCCACTTGTATTTTCAATTTCGGTGTCTGATCCCGGCATGGCTATCGTCAATACTAAACACAATTTTTAAATCTGCAAAAATATCGGCGATCCACGTAATCCCACTTCTGATTCTGTAGGCTCCGTTAATAAATAATATTGTTCTAGTTTTCTTAAGTTTATTTAGCGGAAAGAAACACTAATTGTACATAATTCGACATAATAGTTTTCATAACATTCAGATGGCCATAATTCATAATCACAAGTGTCAAGTCTAAACATAAAGTGTGTGGTTATCTTCTTTTTTTTTCAAATTGAGTGACAATCAGATCTGTCAATGGCGCGAAATTCAAATAAGACTACAATTTTTATAGACAAAACAATATTATGTAATGATTTATTAATTATTTCCAGAAGAGAAAAAGATTATTGATATTTACTTGAGTCATAATTGAGAAATGAGATGAAAATCTGAAATTTTCTGAGGAAAAACACTTCCCCTGTTGACATTCGATATGAAAAAAAATTGTTATTGTAGTGACACTGTTTTTCAACTGATTAACATATTTTAGATTTCTTATAAATACTGTTTTTGACAACAATGTCAGTGACAGAAATAAAGGTGTGCTTGCCAGTAAGTGCTATTATGGCTTGAGAAACAGATGGCCCCAAAACTACCCAGGAAAAATTAAAATTACCATATATAACACTAATAAGGCCAGTGTTAACATATGGGTCAGAAACGTGGTCACTTACACAGAACGACCAAGATGCAGCGTTTCAGAGAAAATTCTAGGAAATATGAGGTTCAAGAGGTTGTGACGTAGGCGCTACAACTCTGAATTATACAGAAGTTTTGGGGAACCTGACGTTGTAAAATGTATTAAATTAGCACGCCTTCGATGGATAGAACATGTAATTAGGCGAGATGAAGATGCAACGATCAGAAAAATTTTCGACCGAAGAGGACCAGTGGGAAGACGATCTAGAGGAAGACCAAAACTTAGGTATTGAGATAGCATAGAGGATTAATTACTAGTTAACTGGGAATAAGCCACAATGTTAAAATACGTTTATTAACGTTTCAATTTCCATTTCGAAAATCGTTCTCAAAATACAAACTTTTTGAGTAACCTAAGTATAACCTAGTACGGTTTTTAGAAAATATCCACCCTTAAAAAAAATTATCAGCATACATTTGTAGTAAACCTCTTGTCGTACGGTCGTAGCATTCACGGAGGTATTCTCCATATTCACTGTAAAAAGCGTTCGGTCTCTTCTTCAAATCAAAGTCTTCACAAAGGTTCAAACTTGGGTAATAATAATAAACGTTGAATTTTCTCAAACAAGGTCTAGTGGGGCTAGTAGTGTAAGACGACTAGATCCCGATCGGAAGATGTGCTGCCTTTTTATACAGTTCGTGTTTGCAATTTCGCAGCAATCTTCCGCCGGGAGGCCAATGACAACGCAGTTAATAACGCTGCTTGTGATTGGCCGGCCAGAGTGGCAATCTGCGTCGTGATTAGTTACTTCTAATTTAATTAGCATATATCAGGAACAGTATTGGTAAAAGTATTGACCCTTGAGGAACTCCACACTCAATATTGGACAATTGACTATTCACACTGTTAACAAATGTTTGGTTTGTTAACATTTTGTTTTAAAACGCTGTTTTAAATATAAGTACTGCATTTTATATGAAAGCTGAAATACTGAATGGCTTTGATTATTTAATAATTTATAAGATACACAATAACATATTCTTTAATTTTTATCATAATTTTATTTTTATTTTACAGGATTTCCTTCACTTTGGAAAAGAAATAAGCATTTTAATACACATTTTGGTAAGTAGAGCTATATTGGTTTTTTGAGTTTAATAAATTATGTGGTAACTTAGGAGCTGGCATAAATAGAGAGTGATCAGACATATCAGATTGGATTAAAAAAAATTGAGTTTCTTAGATCACAAAAAGTTGGTCAGTACGTCAATCGACATCGAATTACAACAGATGCAGAAAACCCGATCACTGATTCGCTTTCAGCATTAAAATTTATGTGGGGAAAATTGTGTAACAGTTTTTTCCGGAACTTTTTACGTAATTTCAAGAAGAAAAGTATATTTTTTAATATGTTAATTGAATCATTTGTTGTATTCGCTCCGTGCGTGACCATGGTAGGGGAGCCTTGAAACGATTGTCAGCGTGCGTAGCGGCGAAAAATGACAAAATTGGAATCTTTTTAAGCATAAATTTTATCAAAAATGTGTGCATATACATGTTGCGTATTAAATTGTGCTAATAATAGCAAAAATAGGGAGTGTAGTTATTATAGGTTACCAAAGATTACATATAAAGTAGAGAAAAGGAAAAGATGGATTCGTGCTATTAATATGAGAAAGTAAATATAACATAATTTCATTTTTATTGAATTGAAATAGGAAAAATTTAAATAATTTACCTTAAATGACATTTCATATCGCTTCAAGCTAACTGCAGAGTGCCTGATGACTTTAGCTTTTATATCATAACTTTTACTATTATTGTTTTTAATTATATGCTCTTTCACGTAAAAAACTTGATTTGCCAGTACTAGATTTTTCCCTTTTCCGTGTGGGGTTGAAAAGATATATTATGATGAATTTTGAGAAACCCAGTTTTTATAGTACTACATAAACTGAAAAAATATAATTAAAAAATTAATTATTATTAATTGTCAATTTCGCATGTATTTAATAATGTCAAACATATGTCATATGTTTAACCTGAAAATTGGGAGGTCCAAAACAGTCAGATGAAGGCGGTAGGTGTCGCGTCAGTCACGCACGGAGCGAATAATTCATCTCTGTGAATAAAATAATATGTTCTGCATTTATTTCAGGTTTTCGATCAGCTTTTAAACTTAAAAAGGGCATCAAACCTAATCTAGGTCAGTATAGTACTTACTATTTTAAGTAGGACACCTATCCCGTTTATTTTAAAAACCTATTAGGGTATTTTTATAGATCAGCGTGCACATACATATACTATTATTGTATAGGGTTTTATCTTGTGATTTATGTGCTGTATGTGAATGTGGCAGATGATATGATGTCGCAGCATAATATCAGTAGAAAATGTAAATTAGTCACTTAAATCCATACCCGTCGCGCCATCTTTTAGACGTTATTTAAAGTAACAGCGCCTGTGGACAACTTCTACCACAAATGGGCCTATCATGATGCTTGGCAGTTATATGGATTGTTCACTTTCATTTTTGTGTGAGTGAAAATAAGAGAAGTTTGTTAAGCCTTTTTAGTAAAATAATCTGCAGTTTTAATTATCATTGTTGGAGCTATTTATTGAACTTATGTGCAGCCTTATTTTGATGAATTTTTATAATCGATAGTTCCATGTCGGCTAATGACAAGTTTGTATTGCATCTACACAACGTTTTTAATGAAACAAACCGTATTGTTTGTTGCAAATGGTAGAGCAATTATAGTTAAAGAAAGAAACATTATGATGAATATGTGAGATTATGAGAATTCAAATCGGAAGACATCCTATTTTTTCACAGGTCCAAGAAAAGCATCTAGTGAGTCATGTATAAAGAAACAAGTTATCATTAAGAACACTTGAATTAACAAGCATAAATAAAATATCTGCTTTCAACATGAGGTGAAACAAGTATTCTATCTATCTATCTAATCAGCCTTAACCGCCCACTCTTGGGCATACTGCCTTCCCTGTTAATCTCCATTGGTCTCTATTTTGGGCGATCTGCATCCAGTCCTTTCCTGCCGTTCTCTTAAGATCGTCAGTCCATCTCATCTGTGGTCTTCCTCTTTTTCTTTTCTTTTCCCATGGTCTCCAGTGTAGAATTCGCTTATTCCATCTTTCATCTTTTTGCCGGAGAGTGTGACCGGCGAAGTTCCATTTAAGTTTTGCAACCTGTCTTGATACATCGTTCACCTTTGTTTTTTCTCTGATCCATGAGTTTCTTTTCCTGTCTTTAAGACCGATACCCAGCATCTGTCTTTCCATTGCTCTTTGTGTTTTGGATATCCTGTCGATGTTTTCCATTGTGAAAGTCCATGTTTGTGAGCCATATGTGATAACTGGTAAAATGCACTGGTTAAATACTTTCGTTCGCATATATTGAGGGAACTTTTTATTTTTTAGAATATATGATAGTTTACCAAATGAGGCCCATGCTAGTCTAGTTCTTCTTTTTATTTCTTCTGTTTGATTGTCCCTGTTCAGCTTTATTATCTGTCCTAGGTATATGTATTCTGCCACCTGCTCTAATTTATTCTGTTTGACTACTATTTCTAATTGGTCTTCTAGACCTACCTCTGTCGCTTTTCTATCTAGTTCCTCAACCATCTTCTGTCACTCTTCCTTCTTATCTGTTATTAGGACTATATCGTCTGCATATCTCAAGTGGTTCAAGAGCTCTCCATTTATTCTTATTCGTTCGTCAATTTTATTGTGGTACTCGAATTTTTGTATATGTTTGTTATTAGGTCCGTGTACCTGTAATCAATTCTGCCGTTCTGTAGTGAGTTTTTGATGGCCCAATGTTATATGCTGTCAAACGCCTTTCGGAAGTCTATGAATGCCATGTATAATGGGATTTGATACTCGTTCGACTTTTCAATTAGTATTTTTACTGTTAGCAGATGGTCGCTAGTACTAAAACCCTTTCTGAATCCCGCTTGTTCTCTTGCTTGGTATTCGTCAAGCTTAGTTGTTAGTCTATTTGTCATGATCTTCGTTAGTAGTTTAAATACAACACTTAGTAATGTTATAGGTCTATAGTTTTCTAAGTTCTTTCGGTCACCTTTTTTGAACATTAATAGTGTCTCCGCATCGTTCCAGCTATCGGGTATTTCTTTTGTGGTCAATATTTTGTTCATGAGGATATATAGGACTTCTCTAGTTGTTTTCCCTCCTCTCTTCAGCATCTCTGCAGTTATTCCATCTTTTCCAGGTGACTTATGGTTTTAGTTCTTGAATTACTTTCTGATTTCTGTTTTACTTATTCTGGTTGTAGGTCAGAGTTCATATTTTTTATTTTTGTGTTTAATTGTTTAAGAATTTCTTGCTGTGGTTTATGTCTTGTTCTGTATATAGTATAGTATTCTTGTGTCAACTTTATTATTTGTTTCATATCATTAATGGTTGTTCCTTCGCTGTTTGTCATTTCATTTATCTGAGTTTTGCCTAGTCGTTATTTTAAGCATTCATATTTTTGTTCTGCTGGATTACTCTTTCAATCTTTGCTTCCTGCGTTTTTCTCTTGGTTTCTTTTATGTTTCTTCTAATTGTTTTATTGATTTCAGTATATTCTACTGTGTTTCTTTTGCCCTGTTCAAGTAGGCTTCTTCTTGTCTTCATCAGGTTTTCTACTTCTTCTGAGATATAGTATTACAAGTATTACTTAAATTAAACTTGTAAAAGTCTTAGTTCCAACGAAATGAAACAATTTGGAGGGATAACTTCAAAAAGAAAGGTGAACACTGCAACCTGTTTGTAATAACTCTAATTTGTTGCTATAATGTTGCTGGTGCATTTTCTATTCTTCTATGTTTCTTTTTGTCAGAGCTCGTATGACAAGCGTGTTGAAAAAAACGGACCCATGCAAAATATATTTGCTCAAAGTTCGCTCATTCTGAATCTTCTCTTGCAATTGTTGACATGTTATTTTGTTTTTCCCATTTTTCTAAATTTTTTCCTGTTCCTCACTTTTTCTCATGTTTATATTCTAATCTTTCTTATGACTTTTTCTATCTCCTCATTCCATTAAATCTTCGGTCTGTGTGTTGCTCTTTGACATTGGATTATCCAATGACAATTTGAAAGAACTTTTTATAATAATATCAGTTATTATTAATTCGATTTTGAATTATTGGTTTATTTAAGCAAATTAAAACAAGCTACATTACTCTCTAGTTGTATAATTGATCAAGTTAAACGAATAGTAGGAAAAAATAAAGCTATATAAAATCCAGCAAAAGATGTATATATTAAACGACTAATCATTTTAATTTCAGATTGGAGGACATCAAAAAACAAGAAGAAATACTTCAAGCTTCGTCTTCGAACAAATATAGTCACATGTTACCACTGTGGAAAATTATTTATAGACAGAAAACATTTTCTTCTTCACATGATCAATTACACAACTAATGGGGTTGCTCCAAGCAAAGAGATGTTGATTCCTCATGTTAATAATTTGAGTCCAACTAATTCTGCAGAACAAAAACCTTTCAGATGTGAAATTTGTTTGAAACAGTTTTCGAGGAAAAACCACTTGACGTGTCACATGCAGAGACACGATCTTAAGGAAATGTTCGAGTGTGAAATATGCTTTAAGAAATTTATCTATAAGTACAATTTAGACTATCATATGCGTTATCATACTGGTGAAAATTTATTTACGTGTACAATTTGTTACAAAAGTTTTTCAAGGCAAGATCGTTTGAATCAGCATATGCCTCTTCATTCGGAAGAAAGGTTATTTAAAGTAAAGAAAGTATACAAATGCGAAATATGCCCAAAGCAGTTTGTCGTCAAGCATAATCTTATGCTTCACATGCGATTCCATATTGGCTACAAACCGTACAAATGTGAAGTCTGTCTAAAAAATTATGTTTCGCACAGTAGATTAATGCTTCATAAACGCTGTCACGCCGCTGAAAGACCGTATAAATGTGATGTATGTTCGAAACAATTTATAGAAAAAGCAGGCTTAACTCGACATATGCATTCTCACACCGGAGAAAAGCCTTTTAAATGTGAAATTTGTTCTAAGAGATTCCAACGCAACTATTACTTAAACAGCCACATGCTTTCACATACAGGCGAACGGCCCTATAAGTGTGACGTCTGTTCAAAATTCTTCAGAGATAGATCAAACTTGAATCGACATATGCTGTGCCATACTGGTAAGAAATCGTTTAAGTGTGATATTTGCGATAAACTTTTTAGAGATGGAACAGGTTTAAGTCGACATAAGCGTTGCCACAGTGGCGAGAAGCCTTTTAAATGCGATGTCTGTTCGAGACCATTTAGAGAAAAGTGTGCTCTGACTCGACATATGTTATCTCACACTGGTGAAAAACCGTATGAATGTCAAGTTTGTTCGAAAAGGTTTAGACAAACAGGTACTTTACATAAACATCTTCGTACTCATAACAAAAAGCCTAAATCTAATAAAAAAAAGTAAACAGTAACACATTGTGAATCGTAAATTTAGTACTGTTCCCATTATCATTTTTGTTATGGTGCATTTTCAATTTCCTATTAGTCTTTTGTGATATCAGTAAGCAGAAATAATGAACTTAGGATTCTTAACGACATAATTTGAATAAAACAAGACAAAATATAGTCCGTCTAGAAAGTATCCGGAATTTTGTATTTTTCCTAATTTTAATAGATTTCCTTTTTGTAATATTTTAAAACAAAAATATTGCATCAAGTAGGTTGTGCCGATAGTAGGTTATTGACAAAATCGCATGACAACACCATCTGTCAAATATTGTTGTTTGTAAACAGACTTAAGATTTGTGAAATAATGTTGCAAGTTGAAAAAAGAAAAGTGGTGGAATATTTGTATAGAAAGGGTGTCCGAAACGTTAAAAAATTAGTGCAATTGACTGAACTCGGAAAAGTGCAAAGTATGAGACAATAAAGAGGATAAAAAGACCGGTAAAAGTATGAGACATAGACCGGTTTGGGGTAGCCGCGAAAGATTCGCGGAAACAATTTAAATGCTTTAGTGGCTTTAGGACGACAAAATCCGCGCCTAGGGTTTCGAAATTTAGCGAACAGATTTGGAAATCAACGAAGAATAAAAGTGTGCCCAGAAACTGTCCGCATGCCACTGAAAAAGTAAGGCATCCAAAAAAAATCCTACAATGGCACTTCTGCAAAGGCAACGAAGAATAGATTTTTGTCAACGTTTTCGAGAAGATAATTTTAATAATGTCTTTATATCTGATGAAAGTTGTTTCCACTTTGTTGGAAATCATCTAAAAGTCCTATCAAAAGAAAATGTTACTGTTCAAATTTCCACTAAAATAATGGTTTGGGTAGCAATATCTCATCGTGGTGCTACACCTCTCTGTATAGTTAATGGTACTGTTGATAGTGTGAAATATTGTGACATCCTAAATGGTTTTCTTCTTGAAACGGCTCATGTTTTATATCCAGAGGGGTAGCGTTTTCAGCAAGATAATGCAAGATGCCATACTTGTGATGTTTATACTCAAGCTTGCATGCAAGAACACGAATTGGCAACAATACCGTGGCCAGTAGCATCTCCAGATCTCAGTCCCATTGAAAACATATAGGGACTGATGAAGATTGAAGTGGAACCAGCAGCGCCACGAGATAAAGAAGGTTTGATTCGGTCAGTTTTACAGGCCTGGAACACCATTACCGAAAATTATGGCCTTGACGTAGTTTCGGGTGTACCTGGACGTTTATTTAAGTGTTTAGATTTAAATGGATGTTGTATGGAAGTAAATGAGATGAATTATTTGTTGAAATTTTATAATTCAAGGGATAGAAATAAATACCGTAACATTATAAGTCTGCTTTCTTTTTTCCGGATACTTTCTAGACGGACTGTAGTTTGGAGACACTCACCGGGAATATAGAAAACCAAATACATAAAACGATCAGAGACATAGATTAGAGTCTCAGATATACACCACACAAGTAACATAAATATTCTCCAGAAGCTAAGGAAAGACAAAGAAATTATTAAGAAGAAGTTATAAAATTATATTTATTTTCAATTTAGCCACAAGCAACAAGTAGTGGGAGTGTTAATACATTTTTAATTAAAAAAGAATATGAATGTGATAACAGCAGAGCAAGATGGGGCAAACTGTGTTACATCTTCTTCCGTATCATTTATATTCAACCACATTGAGCGTGTGTAACCAAGTAAAAGCAAATGTGAGGTAGAAATGTTATTATATATTCTGAGTACTACTGTTGTATTTTTGATTAACATTGTTATAAATAATGTGTTAAAAGCTGGCAAAATTCAGTTATTTTATTAATCTCGAAGTAGATCTCTGATCGTGATATTGAACAGTATTAGATGTAGACTGCTGCTGTTGTGGATTAATGGATTAATTTATTTTAGATATAAATTGTTTTAATGATAGGTACAGTACGGTATTATTTATTAAAAAAGGTTGTGAAATACGTCAAAATATTTTCATTTACAGCAATAAATTAAAAACACATGTTTTTAATTTACACATAGTTTTGATAAGTTTTGAACTAAATTATCTGAATTTTTATATTTACTAACTTGTATTGTAATTGACAATAAAGTATAAAATACAATTTAGTATGTATATAATTTATTCCTAAAACTACAGTGTGGAATATAATTAAGCATCATGGGCAAACATTAAGTATCTTAGATAAAAAAAAGTTAAGAAAATAGGAGAATATTAGTAAAAGTTTTCAAAAAATACTAAGTCAAGTCACAGAATAATAAACAATCAGAATATCCACTCTGCTTGAAAAAATAAGTTTGAGCAGACGGAATTAGCCATGTTTTTAAACGAAACCAGTGTTGTGCAGTGACATTTTATCTGGTGTGCATAGACAAATTAACCCGGTTTAATTAATTTATTTTATTTAGCGTATGGATAATTACAATACGAATAAAAGTAGTATTTAGATAATAATTATGTTCAAATTGGAATTGTAACCTAAGTTAAATATTAATGTCCAAACTGCACAGCCATTCAATTGCACCAGGAGAACACTCTGCAATATCTTGAAGGTCTCCGCTGTATCTGCGGATTGGGCAATCCGCCATGATGTGTTGGATTTGCCCGGTTTAATTTATTTACGGCAACTACAGACATAATATGCACCATTCTATTCGTAATTTTAGTTGAAGGATAGATTAAATTATGTCAAATGTACTAAATTATTATTCTTTAAAAATTTAAATTACATTTCTGTCGTAGCTTGTCGCGCATTTCATCAATTCGAGTGTATGTTTCCGTCTAAAACGGAAAAGGCGGCATCGAAGAGTGGGCATTCCGATTGTTATTTATTCTGTGGTCAAGTTAAATCGGAATGGAATCGCGAAAGTGGATTCAATTTTTGCATGGAATGCTGTCGGAAGTGAATACATAAATCTAGATTAAAGGTTTTATAAGGATGAATTTTAGGTAACAATTTAAAAGTGTACTCTTATTTTAAAGATTATATTTTCTTATAGGCAAAGGAAAAGGCACATGTCAACAGCAAAACAAAAGCTAGTCAGGCTCATGTGAGCAAAATCTAAACTTTTTCAAATAGTCACTTAATTAATAGATTGTTTAAAATTTCTTATAGTAATTCGCATGATTAAATACAAACCCGCTAATGTCATCCATACCATGTTAACTGTTTTTTACTAATACTTAATTTCTTTAGTGGTGTCAATTTTAACTACTTTTTTATAAAATTCCGAGTGATCTTTTGATTGCTTTCACTTCAACAGCTCCTATTTTTTTTATTTATCTCCAATTCTCTTATCATCGCCAGTTGGCGCTACAGCCCTGGCCTGCTGCAAAGCGTTCTTCCTATTTCCCTGGTGAGTGTCTTGTCTGCTCTATCCCCTTTAGCCCTATATTACCGGACTTACTTAGCCGCACGTGATTACCGGACTATCGTAAATAACACTCGGTGCAAATTTTTCCACGATGCCCATCGCATGCTTGCAAACTTGGCAATATGTAGTTGTCATTCGCCGCTTTTGGCTTGGACAATAAAAGCAAATTTTTCTTTTTCTTGATATGTGGGAACTTCTTCTGCGGCAAGTATCTTTAAAATGTGAGCTATATCGTGTCGAATATCTCTACGCAAAGTAGCGGTTGCTAATCTTTGTCTCATCCATGGTTCGGCAAGAGACTGGCGTTGTATGTGTAAATGACATAGGAATTAATACTGGCTATATTAACCATATCATAAAATACACACACATTTGGTCAAAAGTATCTACGCCTGATTTTGTGTATTGTAATTTTTTATAATTAGAGGCTTACCTGTTTCTTCTGATACTTCTGCCGTTTCGTGCAAAGTTGAAAGCAGTAAAACTAATTTCTGTTTTTTTAGGGACGTAAGATAACAAAACTACATACGATACTTTACATTACGGTTTGAACCAATGACGTATAATATATAGACTCGGTGAACGCTTTAAAAAGTGTCCAAAACATGAATACCTTTGTTATTGTTTATTGTTTTGATACGAAGATGCACGAAGTTTCATGATTTCTTACGAAGCATCACGAAGTTGATCTTGTGTTTGAAAACATCATGGACGTATGAAAACATTTTCTCCATTTTGTTGTGACAAGCAAATTTTATTTTAAATTGTTGAGAGTTATTTACTTACTATTTTAGTAAAATGCCATACTATTTTATCAATATAATTAGTTCTCTTATAGACGGGGAGCAAAAAGAATCATAAATATTTAATTTTAATTAAAAAAATAATTATTGTCATTAACACCTTCACGGCGGTTCGGGACCCCGAGGTCCTGTACATGTCATGATCTAAAATTTTTGTAGTAATCTTTCTTGACTTTCCCAATATTCGAAAGGCGTATTTCCACTATTAGTCAACAGATGTCGATAGTTCAAAGAGCGCCTTGTGTAAAATTTCGCGGCAAATCTCATAGTAACCGAAATGAAGTTCGGGACCCGGGAGACCCTAGCCGTATTATGATAATAATTTTGATCGTAACACGGTACGTACCGCGGAGGTCTTCCGATCTTTTTAAGTTTTTTGTCAAAACTGCAGTATTGTATTGATCTTTGAAGGTAAGTTATTAGTACCTATATATTTATTTATAGTTTTTAGACAAAAATACATTCAAATTACTATGTTTTTGGTTTATTTTGCAATCTAAACCATTTTAGACACAGATGTTTTTCCATTTTTTCATAATTGAATACTGTATGATTCTATTTGTAAGACACAAGGTAGAATCTATATAAAATATATATATATATTATATATATATTATAATATATATATATTATATATATTTATATATATTATATAATATATTATATTATGTGTGTGTGTGTGTGTGTGTGTGTGTGTGTTGAAGATGCTTTAGATTGTAAAATAAACTTTTAATTGTTTATTTCATTGCACTTTGCATTTTATACAAATGTATTTTTGTTCCAGTGTTTCAAAAATGAACAGAAGAGCGACCAAAATATTAAACCTAGCTCTTGAAACTGAAAAAGAAAACCAATCTTCTCAACCAAAAGTCATTGTACAGAAACTAGTAGATTATGACGAGTCACCTGTCTGTTCTGTTTTTTCGGAAGAATCTCATAATAATCCATTACAAGAGCAAAATGATATTTATTTTGGAATGGTTACAAGAGTTACTCATGAAAAAACAGTAAATCAAGACAATTATATCATGGAAGATGTGTTCGAAGAAGAAATGGAATATGACCCCTCTGAGAAGACTGCTATGTGTGAAAGAACTAATATCGAAGTATCAAGTGATAATGACGATGAGCCATTTTCTAGTGACGATTCTATAATAGATAGAAACTACATGCCGTCTTCTGAAGAAGAGTCAATTTCTGAAACAGAATCAGATTTATTTTCTGTCTCAGATGCAGGGGATCAAGATAATCAATACTCTGAGCAAAATGTCACTAACATTCAAAGTCAACAATGTGACCTATGGGGGCCTATTTTTTCCGAAACTCGACCCATTTGTAACAAATTTTACACAAAAGTTAAATGTTAATATGAAAAATATCAAAGAACCGCTAGACGCTTACAGACTTTTTTTAACCGACGATGTTTTGGAACTGATTGTTAGAGAAACTAATATGTATGCAATCCAAAAATTAGATATTTCCAATAAAAATAAGAAAAGAGTTGAATGGAATGATACCGATAAAAATGAAATTTTATCATTTTTCGCAATAATTTTAACAATGGGCTTAGTTCCTTTGCCGACACTTAGTGCTTATTGGAGTAGAGACGAAATGTTTCACAATGCATTTGTAAGTTCCATCATGCCCCTTGATAGATTTTTAACATTGCTCAAATATCTACATTTTTCCGATAACATGGTTGCCAGTGAAAATAGGCTCTGCAAAGTAAAACCATTGCTCGATATACTGCTGGAAAACTTTAAGTCTGTCTTGACACCTGGCCAAGAGATTATAATAGATGAAAGCATGATTCCTTGGAGAGGCAGATTGTTATTCAAACAATACATTCCGAATAAAACACATAAATATGGAATCAAACTATACAAATTATGTACAGTAGATGGGTATACGCACAATGTGATAGTTTATGCAGGTAAAAACTGCGATCCGGTTAATATTAGCAGTAACAGTCATTCAGAAGACATTGTACTAAAATTAATTTTAAGTTTAGACCAGAAGGAGGGCAGAACCTTATACGCTGATAATTTCTATTCCAGCATTCCTTTAGTGAAGGAATTGTATCAAAGAAATATTAAATACTGCGGAACACTTCGATCTAATAGAAAAGGGATTCCAAAATCTTTTGAAAGAAAGATGAAAAAATCTGAGGTGTATGGAGAAGAAAGTGGGAATTTAAGAATAATAAAGTGGATAGATAAGAGACCAGTTTTGATGATCACATCTGATGCCACACATGAGGCGATTCTTGTAGAAACTGGTAAAAAAGATAGAAAAGGGAATGAAATAAAAAAACCAAAATGTATTACTGATTACAATAAAGCTAAAAAAGGTGTGGATATAAGTGATCAAATGTCCGCCTATTTTACGGTTTTGAGGAAATCGCTAAAATGGTATCGAAAGCTTTGTTTCGAGTTGCTTTTTGGAACGTGTGTTGTAAATGCATGGGTTGTTTTTCAGTTAGCCACAGGAAAAAAGTTGTCTATGATGCAATTTAGAAGGCAATTAGCTCGGTCGTTAGTTACTACGGATACTGGAGATAAAATAAATAAAACACCAAAACGAAAAATCCATACATTTGTAAAACCGGAGGGTAAAGGACGCAAACCAAGAAAAAAGTGTGTAGGATGTTATACAATGTTACGGAAATCACTTTCAAGTCGAGAAGCGGATAAGAAAGTTAGAAAAGTAATCAGCTATTGCGCTGATTGTACAGGTCAGCCAGGATACTGTTTACCCTTGTTTCAACGAAAATCATGTAAATTAATTTTTAATGCATATTTGTTAATGTTGTCCAAGTATTTCTTTTATAAATAAAATACACATTTTTCTTTTAAAAATTAGTCTTATTTTTTATTAGTCTTAAAATTAGTCATATTTTTTATTATATTTATTTCCTGATAAAAACCTTGTATTTAATACAGAATTGTCGACATTTATTTCACATATTAGATTTTTAAGAATATTTGTTTATATGAAAAAAACAATGTTTAAAAAACGGCACTATTAGGGACGCCGGAGGCCCGAATCGTATATGAATACAATCTTGATACAGGACGCCCGGGGCCCGAATCGTATTGTAATACTTTCAGTGGAAATAACACCCGTCGTGAATGTGTTAAACATATAAATGAACACGCCGCTGTTGTGATAAACATTACCTTCAACCTTGAGCCGAGATCTTTCGGACACTCGATTCTATAGCGAGAATAGGGGACTGCGTAGTCTATATATTATACGTCATTGGTTTGAACCATAATCTGGCCTTCTGGGGATAGATGACACCTGTTATTCCATTTGTTTTGGAATATTAGGCGCTATCCTATCTTAATATTAGGCGACCTTCCTCTACGATGAAGAAATACTATTTAATTTTATAATGTTATTAGGATTTAGTTTTCGATGATGAATTTGTCAAAATATTCTCAAGTTGGACATAATAATACATATATTTACCGTTAGTACATAATACATATATTTTACCACGTAAATCATCGATTTTGAAATACTGCAGTGCTGTATAACCTGTATATGAAAATCACTCGCGGTGAGAGGGCGTATAGAAGAAGAACTAAGAAACAACTTAAAACAATTAACCTCTTAAAACTTGTTGGTTGTCATGTCATGTCTGTTTCTGTCGATGATTATCAGTCAATTATCATTTCTGTTGTCAACAAAGTAGTCTGGCATTCATTGATAAGATAAATAATCTTCGTCATTTTATACAATGTAATTTAAACTTTTGGATAAAAATTCTTCTCATATTATAGCATTTATAAAATAACAGATCTGACTTTCTTTTTTATGAATATTTCCTAAAAGCTAAAATGTCTTTCCTTGATGTAGATCCCTGGTAAGTAATGATCACTAAATGATTTGCGTGTTTTCGGTTTTATTATAATTTGAGTATTTTAGGCTGTACGAATATGAGTGTTGTGAAAAATTATATCGTGATATAATGGAACAACTTACTCAAAGACAAAAACATCCAAGAACCAGTAATAAGTATTCAGAAGTATCAGCTGTTGTGCGATTGCGTTTAAAACAATATAATGAAGAAGTCAGTCAGTTACATCAAAAATTGGAAAGTAAATCTGGTACAGGAAGCATGTATCCTTTCTGTAAGACAATGAAGTGAATAATATATGCTTATTATCAAACTGTTTAACTCGCATTATAGTAAGGTTTATGCTCCTCATATTGTGTTCTCTTATTTATATTATAAATATATGATCATATTGATGACCTTAGAAATATATGGTTTCTTATGTGTATGAATGGTATTATCCTCATGAGAATCATCTTTTGGTTTTGTTTGTTTATATTGGTTTTAAGTCACTGACAAGACTTAAAATTATTATTCTTATCTATAAAAAATGACATTACGAAATGTTTCCTTTTTTTAAGATGTTTGTTTATTTATTTAACTATTTTTCTTAATAAGATTATTAGAACACCTGCAGAATTTGAAAGAAGAACTAGACAAATCGAAACCTTACATTCAAAGGGTATTCAAATGAAAAAAATTTTTGACGAACAAGTAGTTACTAAATCACAGGAAGACAGAAAAGATTTAATTGGGTTTGGTACAGCCAACCTAGATGTTGGTCCAAGTACAAGTTACTCAGTAAATGATCTTAAAGAAGCTCAAAAACGAATGATAGGAGGTAAGTTATATAAATATCTATTTTATAATGAAAATAAATCACATTACAATGTGCCTTTAATTTAATCTACTATGTTTTTACTCTTTATACACTGTGTTCATTTGAAAGGACCCATCCCCAACATTTCAGAAATGTGTCATTAGTTAGAAAGAAATGAAAGAAACTTTTAACTGTGGATGACACTTTTCAGTGCTAATTTCATACTAGAGATATCCTTTTTTTTTTCAAATGGTGTTAAGTATAAAGTCATACCTCATTTAAAGGTCTGGTAAATCACTATTCTATCATACTGTTTTGCCTTTGATATTGACCTCCATTATTAATTGTTTTTTAAAATTGTCTCTCTTTAAACTTTTCATATTATGTTATGGCAGAATTAACTCCTTTGGTGTATGTTCTATTGACCACTTATCAGACGATGAGCTTATTTATTGTGACATCAATATCTTCCCAGAAAAACCAGCCCCAACTTTTAAGGCTGTTAGAAATTTCAAACACTTGGATGCAAGTCTTTTTTTTACTTGATTTAAACTGTACTCTGTTTGCCAACATCTATCACATTAAAAACATCAATGATAAAGTAAAATTCTTAAGCAGCTCCATTGTGGCTCTCTTCAACAAACATGCTCTTTAAAAGATTAAAGTCACTAAAAATTATAATCCCTGGCTAACAGATAATGAGAAACTTCTTATGTCACTAAGAGATAAGCCAATAAAAGTGGCAGAAAACTAAGGAGGTAGCTCACCTTACCTACTACAAAATGATTAGAAATTATACAACATTAGCATGTGAGAATGAAAAAAGCTGTCTTCAACACAAACTTATGTGGGTGGGATAAAAAATACTTGTAAAAATTTACAACTCATTAATATTGGTAATGGAAGATGGAAGTTGAAAAATCGTTGAAAAAAAACAATCAGAAAATTTTTGACCATACGAGGACCAGTAGGAAGACGAGCCAGGGGAAGACAAAAACTTAGGTATCAAGACAACATAGAGGATGATCTAAAATTCATTGGAGTTAAAGCATGGAGAAGAGTTGCCAGAGACAGGGGCGAATAGATGATTGTTCTGAAGAAGGCTTTGGCTCATAACGAGCTGTAATGCCACTGATGATGATGATTAATATTGGTAAGAATGAACACACAATTTCAGTACTACACATCATGCATCCCACATCTAATAATAAATCAAAATACAATTGACAATTATTTAAATACTGCACCTAATCAGAAACAATTCACCTTTACTCCAGTATCTTGTGATCTGGAGCAAAAATTCTTATATACTATTAAATCTAATGCTTTAGGTTCAGACAGTTTAAACTTAAAAATGTTACTTCAATGTTGCCCATTAATCATTCCTTATATAACTTATATAATGAACTCTCTAGTAACTATTTTGCAGCTGAATGGAAAAAAAGCATTAATTAGACCCATATCTAAATGTAACAATCTGACCAAATATAAGGATCTTAGACCTATTAGTATTCTGTGTACTCTATTAAAAGTGTTATGCATTATGAAAATGCAGCTTTGTGATTATATCTCTAACAATAATATTTTTTCACAGCTGTGAAACAGCACTCCTTAAAATAACTGATGTATGTGTATTAATAACACTCTTAATCATTCACTATTCTTTGCCATTTTGATTTGAAGTCAATCAGCTTTTCCATGGATGCATTGAATATGGTTAAGTCTTACCAGCACTGCAGGAAACAGAGTGTCAAAGTAGACGAAAGAAGCTCTGATTATTTAAACCTTTTGTCAAGGGTACCTCAGGGCTCAATCTTAGGTCCAATCTTATTTACTTTATACACCACCAATATTGCTACATCCTTGAATACCTGTAAATTTTATCTCTCTGCAGATGATAAACATTTTCCCCACTCATTTTACCTGATTGACAGAGCAGGTGCTATTGAGATTGGTAATCAAGATATTAAATCATTGGTTGATTGGGCAAGAAATCATGCATTAAATGTAAACTCTAAAAAAAATAATCTGGTGGTTTTTGGTCTAAACAGGGTGTATTTGGAGATTAGTAACATCATTTAAATAGTTGTTGATAATGAAATCATTAAACCTGTAACTATGCAAAATCTAGGTTAACTTTAAATCATCAATTTACAAACATTACACTGTGTGAGTAAAGAATTTCTCAGTCTAAGAACAATTTATCATATCGCTGCTGTCTGTCATACAAAGTAAAAAAGAATACTGTGCAAAAGTTTAGTATTATCAAAATTTAACTATGGAGATGTTGTGTATGGGCCTTGAATTAGTTCAGATGACAGGAGAATTCAGGTGGTTCAAAATTCGTGTCTTCATCTGATCTGTGGTGTAAGAAGACACCAGCCTAATTCTCATAAATTAAAACTGTAAAATGGTTGAGCATGGAAATGAGAAAATTTCTACATGCTGCTTGTCTTTTCTACAAAATTATCAAAAACACTTTACCAGCATATCTTTTTAAAAAAATTATATACAAAACTGACATACATAATGCCAATACAAGATACAAAAATACTAGCTCTGCCACATCGTACAGAACAAAAAATTTATTTACATATCAAATATCAAAAGTATATAATGGATTAGCTAAGAATTAAAATTAAAATCGATTATATTTTTTAATAAATCTTTTAAATCTAAATTGCTAACTGAGTAACACATGTGCAACTATTTGATTACCTGTCCAATATCTGTATCACTTTAACCTCTGAAAGTTTCTAATACTGACGCTGTTGATGATTATAAATGTTAAATCTAGAAACTGGTATAATAAAATAAATAATTAATTTCAATTATGAGTCACCTTTTTACTAACATAGATATTCTATATTATATATTTTTTATTTTTAGAACAAAATGAGGGACTCGAAAATTTGTCAAAAATTATTTCTAGACAAAAAGACATAGCTACCACTATAACCAATGAAGTTGATTACCATAATGGTGAGTATTGTTGACTTTGTGCACACAAAGTGTCATTTGATAAACATTTAAAGGTAAACAGTTTCCTAATTTATATTATTTTTTTTTGAAAACGATTTCCAGATTGGAAATCTAAATGTCAAAACGAATATAAGGATTACAAGGATGATGTCATCTGCAAATCCCAAATGACTAAACTTCTCTTCATTTATGTTGATACCATGCTCGTTCAGATGTGCCTTCTTCCAAGTATGTTCTAAAAGCATCGTGAATAGCTTTTAAAAGACAGTGTTTCCTTGCCATACTCCTCACTGTAACAGAATTTATTTTTCTTTTTTCAGATAGTCTTACCCTAGCTGTGGCATTTTGGTAGATATATTATTTGATTATTTTAGTGTAGTGATAGTCTATTCAGCATGCTTTCTCTTGTCGACAAATATCAGTGCCAGTGGTTTTTTGTATTCTGCAGACTTCTCTATCAGCTTCTTTATCACTAGTAAATGATCGTTAGTGCTGTATTCCGATCTAAATCAAGCTTGTTCTCTAGGCTAATCGAAGTCTAACTTAGCGTCCATTCCTTTTTTGATAATTTTTGTGAAAAGTTTATAAATGTGTGAAAGCAAACTGATAGGACGGTAGTTTTTAGATCTGTTATGTCTCCCTGCTTGTGGAATAAAATAATGACTGCATTGTTCCATTGAGAAATCCAGTCCCTCAATTCATTGTCCCTTTATTCTCTGTTTAAATTTAAATTAGGTATAATGCCCACGCTACTCTTCCTAAGTATCTAACAATTCAACTTTTTTCCTCAAATTGTTGCAAATGTGGTACCTTCTGTCGCATCTGGCTATAGATTTTTCAACGAAATTTCGTGTATACATTAACTACAAATATATGATCCTTAATTTTCAGATCTACTGGATGATTTGGGAAATCAAATGGATCATACCGACACTATACTAGGTACTGCTACAAGACATATCGAAGTTGTTGACAGAAAAGACAAAACTTGTGTATATTGGGTGATAATAATTTTATTATTTATAAGCATTGTAACAGTTGCTGCGATTTAGTCGATAATCTATACCAAAGCTTTTATTAATCAGTTTTATTGTAAACATATCTTTATTGTGTATAGTATGGCATTTATTTTTATAAAATAAACATTTATGTAAACACCAATTTTTTTTATTTATAAGTGAAGAAGTTTTATAGAATACATCACATCTAGTTATGAAGACTTTACAACAGTTAAGACAACTACAAGCGTTTATAGTCAATGCTAACCGGAGTTTCAAATACGCTTTCGATGTTTTGAATTTTAACGTCTCGAATGAAAACCTACGTTGATATTGAGCAGTTTATAATTATTGAACTATTTTGAACAAAGTTAAACTTCAACAATGTTTAGAATTTTTAGCTAATGGGACTGGCAAATAATAATGAATGTATATGTGGAGAGCTAGCTGATCTATAACATATACTGTTAGAATGTCCTTTACATTTTATTGAAATATCAAATTTTTTTACCAAGCTAGTTCAAGTTAATGTTCAATTACCTTCTAATCTATCACATATTTTAGAGTCAAAGAATCTAGATGTATATAAAATTTTATATAGTCATATTAATTGCTTAAAATTAAAGCTCTGACAAAAAAAAAACGATAAAAAAAATAATAAAGAATAAAAAAAATGAAGAACAAAATTAAAAAGAGTTACTAAGAAGATCTAAACCTCCGAGGTGTCGAATCCTCCGGTTTATGTCTTAGCGTAGTAATAAAAAAATTAATAAATAATAAAAAAAAAGATACAAAAAACAAAACAGCAAAAACAGAGTAAAGTTTCTAACATTCCATGTCTTAACTGTCAATACAATACAATTGTTTTAAATGTAAATACTAACAATATCTTGTGTAAAGAGAGAACCCAAAACAAATTGACTGACCAGTTGGTTGTCGAAACCAGTGCCAATAAAACACACACACACACACAGAATTTTTAGCAAGTAAAATAAGATTCAGTATATTCAAACTTAATTTTTTATCCGAATTTTTGAATATTGTGAATGAATAGATTATTATTAATTCATGAATATACTTCATTATTATTCATATTAAAGATGTATAAGCAAGATTATTATATCTGAATTAACTTTTTCAAAATTAGGACGATGATTATAAGATTTATGTATAAATAGAGTATCCGGGCGTGATGCTGAATATGTGCAAATTTCAGTTATAGTTGACTTCATTTTTTCCGTGTTTATTTTTAAAATATCTCGATAAATTCTTTTTAAAGAAAATGAAACGTTGCAAATTTTGCAACAATATTTATTTTTCACGTATTTAATTTAAATACAACCGAATATTATATCGATATCTGATATGAATAACATTGTAACTCTACTTGCAATGTTTTTCAACTATGGATTAAATAACATCTATAAAGGATAACCTTTATTTTGGTCAAATAACTTTTATTCTATCTTATGTAAATATAAAGTTATTTAACAAAATAACCTCATAGTAAGTGCAAATTTTGAATCATTTGGTGGAAAAACGTTGTAACCAATGTTATAATATTGAAAAAATTTATTATTGATGAATATTTTTTTAAAAAACATTGTAATATTGTATATTCTTTTTACAACTTCATTGTAAGTTGTGACACAAGAAAGCAAGGTAGTGGAATATTACTATGAATTAGATTCAAGTAAATTTACAGTCTCTTTTAATCAGGAAGATGACGGACAATGAAATATTTACTAGTTATAGAATCTTAAACTAAAAAAATACTATATCATTTATGACCGAACTGACTTCTACTGTAAAAAGTAAGGTACCAAATGTTCACAGTGCATTACATACATGTAAGATATACCGACAGCGGAAACTTTTACATGCATCCAAAGGTAGAGTTCATCAATAAATATGTCTCTTAAGAAAAAACAATCACCAAAGAAGAAAAATTATGGGAAGGAGAGACAAAGGATATAAGTGTTTGGAAAACGAATGATACTGTGAGAACTCTGAAAGTCTACAAGAATATACTAGCAAGTAATAAAATTAACGAAAATGAGAGAATTGGGAACTGGATGTAACGTAATGTACAGAAAATGTAAAGCGAAATTATCTGAAAATGATAGACTCAATTTGTTTAATAATTTTTGAGAAATGATGTTGCATGACAAACAGAGCGAATATTTATGTAGATATATTCTCAACAAGAGAGAAAGGTTGCGTAGTTAAAAGAGTCTAGAAGAAACTGGACAAAATCTGCAATAGCAGAACACCGAGTTGTAAAAAACTTTTTAGACAGTTTTAACATAACAGATATATAGTTAACTACACTATTCATAAAAATAATGATAGTCAGGAAGGTGGAGCTTTTATACCTGGAGTATGCGCGGTCTCCATAAGATGCATGTGTAGATGCAAATATTAAAAATTCCATTCGTGTGCGTATTACACTCTATTCAGCAAAAGAATCCCACTACGCAAGAAAAGAACAACCAAGATGTATTTTAATAAGTCTTTAACGTTTCTCAAATTGTATTCACTGTATAATGAATGGATGTTAGAGAAACAACCAATGGATAAGCCAGCCACCAAAAGTCAGTACCTACACATATTCAATACTGAGTTTAATATCGGCTTTTGCACCGAAAAAAAAAATCAGTGTCTCACTTTTAATCTACATAACACTAAAGCAGAGAAAAACCAAATAGAAAAGATATATGCTTTACATATTGCAAACATACGGATGTGAATCTTTGACCCTATGACAAGCGGAAAGAAGAAAGATAGATGCCACTGAAATGTTCTGTTGGAGAAAAATACTACGAATTCCGTGGACTGACAACAGGACAAATATTTCAATTTTAAATGAGCTAAATGTCAGCAAACGGCTATACAGCAAAGTTCATCTCCGACAATTAAAATACTTTGGACATGTTATTAAGCAGACACAGAAAACATGGAAAGAATTATTATCTAAGGAAAGTTGGAAGGCCTAAGGAAGATCTCTAACAAAATGGATCTACCAAATTACAGGAATATGCAAGAGTTAAACGAAATGACCAGAGACAGAGATCTTTGGAGACAGACAATACCCAACATCACGCTGACCACTACACTCCCTCCGGGAGTCAGGATTAAAGGGAGAGAGATTGCAAACAAATGTGCTGCACGTGTAGCCAAAAATTGTGATAAAAAGGATTCTAAGAAAACTGCAACAGAACTGCCTGCTTTGATTTGCAAAAAATATTAACTACACCCAATCATAGGTATCATTGTTTTCTTATAAAAGGAAGTTTAAAGGGTATAATTTTACTATCTTTGATATTGGATCTGCGGAAGGTTATTGTTATGCAAATATTATAAACTGTTTTATAATTTGTAAATGCTCATTGTTGCGTAACAACATTATTTAATATTTTTATTTAATTTTGTATCATATTATTATATCACACTGTATATTAGTTTAGATTTATAAAATTCCTTTGTACCATCTAATAATTTGTAAGGCGCCAATAGCTTGCATTCAAATAACTTTCTAGACACAAGCTTCTAAAACCTTCAAAGAATCTAAACAATGAAAGGATTAGTAATTCCAAATTATCGGTTTGAGTCATTCGAAATTTCCCAACATTAACGTCAGGTAATTTTACCAATAAAATTAAAGTCGAAGGTATTTGAAATGTAAACATATCCGTTATATACGTCGAGGGTCAGGGGGGGAGAGTTCTGAATGTTAACAGAATTACGAGCCGAGGGATTGAAGGAAGTGATCAGTACGAGTTCAAATTCCAGCATTGGATGAGCGCTAGACTCTACTCGCCCCAGCGGCACTTAGAAGGTTTAACACAGTCGGGATATTAATAAGTTTACTCAGTTCGTGTCAATATTGTATCACCGAAAAGTTATCTAGTTTAGTTTCATAAATCAGCTATCGTATGCAAGTTATCGGCGTCCAAAATACGTTGTAATTGTTTAGATAGACTTGTTAAAACGTTCTTTTCGAATCTTTCATTTGTCCCAGTTTTCTGGGTGGTCCTTCAAAGAAGTATACAAAGAACCTATTTCCCTAAGGACAAAACTTGTTCCCCAAGGGAAGAAACCAGCGACCTATGACTGGTGCGCGAAACAAAGGCATCAGGACAAGGTGTAAGGACAAACACACCTGCATCTTCGCTCACTCATTTTGTATGTTGGAAATGTTATGGAATTTTTTTAAATCGCAGTTAATCCTTTCGCTTCCTCAAGGTATGGCTGCTCCCTTTTTTATTTAATGGTGTAGTTGGGAGAAAGGTCGAGTGACGTTAGCTTCTTTGCAGTGTCCAGATACTTCCAGATATACAAGATTAGGCAACGGCTATTGGTTCAGACATTCTTTGGCTTCGTGGCAGTCTGGATATACGCTATTTTAGAGATTTTTAGCTTCTATATTATAGTACTCATCAGGAGGTTTGTGACAAGCTAAGTTGAGAGGCTTAGCTGGTAGGAATGGAACCTTTGGTGGAGAAATCTGGTGAGTACTTGTCCTTGGTGGTTTTTTACATGATCGTACCATTCTCTTCATTTTTGCCTACTAAATCTCAATACATCTTATACGCCATTGTCTTAGACGATATTGTTTCTTATTTTCCTTGATTTTGCTTTATGTCACAAAAGTAATAACACATACATAATAGGTTTAATACTTTACTTAATAGATGTTATAATAGGTATCCACATGTTTCTTTACATTATACAATAAATTATAATAAAATTTACAAAATTATTTCAATTCATCTAAATATGGTACATCATTAATGTTTCCAATTGATGCTAAGGTCAATTTTCCTCCTGCTTTCCTTAGAGCCTAAAATAAAAATTTTAATATTAATTAATTCGGTATCAGCCATTTAAATACATCAGACCACCTAAAGATTGTGGAATACTAGTAGATTGTATACATAAAATTTATTTAATTTACAGTACAAAAATTTACTTACACTTTGTACATCACTGGTGCTGACAGAGTCTACGGCAGCAGCTAAAGCATTGGCGCTGTGTGGAGCACCAGACAAAACTGCTTGGGTTCCAAGATCCCTTACAACGTCAGCACCACTTTCAGCATTCAGAAGGATAGATGTCTTCAATTGATTTTTGCCTGAAAAAAAAAACAAAATCTTATACATATGGGTAAATAAAATAATAAACTAAGTACATACAAAGTACTATAAACCTTAAAACTATCATTATTAATTATTTTTTTGAGGAAGCTGATGTTTTAACAGAAACATGTCAAGTTGACTGTATTCTGTTTAAAAATGTTGTGTTTCATGCACTGAACATGAATTTTCCAGTTTCATTGATATTGTAATTTGTCAAAATAGTTCCACTTTCAATTTCTTGATTTTCTCTATATTTTTCTTATTTCTTGAGACACTCCGCATAGTCACTCATTTCTCTGCGGTCCTTTCTCACGAAATTATTTTTATTATCACTTCGTAAATTTCTACAGTAATAAAAAATCCACTAGTCCTGGATATTTCTTTTGAAATATCTTCGGACCGTTCCGGTCTGAATTCAACATTTATTGAATGCAATTCCCAAAACCATTAATTCAAGTTAATTTTTCTCCAATATAAATATACCTGAATTTTTAAATGTAGTAATTCCTCTCTGCAGCTAAAGAGAATGTAACACAAACTTTGTTCATTGAGAGACCCTTTTTTAATTGGGTAAGATATATTATAATTATCTTAAATATTTCTTCATTTCTTATAGTAGATTCTACTTCACTATTCTACTAAGCAAAAGAGAAACAAAAAACAGAACAATGTCAAGAAATAGAGGAGTATCAGAGTAGATATGATATGATCATCGAAAGGTGAAGAAAATAGCTGGTAAGTTCCAAAAACGCAACAGCAGAAAAATAACAGATGATGAAGGCAATCAATTGAATCAAAAATTAAACATCTTGCCTTTTCCAATGGTTCTGTTGAAACATTCAGAAATACCATTCTGTTCTGGATTCCTAGGTACTGTATACTGAATTTTGATTCCATTATTCGAACATAAGCTTTTAACAGCTTTTGATGAGTATTCATATCTATTATCACACCTTATCAATTTCAATTTTTACATTAAATTTAGGAGTGACCATATCAATATATTCTTTAAATTTATCTATTACTACAGATTTCCTCTCAATCAAATACCATAAACAAAAATGTGAATAATGGTCTATAAATGCAACAAAATAAGTTTTATTATCATGAGTTACTGGATCTATAGGGCCACACATATATTTTGATACAACTTCTAAAATTCTTTTTGCTTTTCTTTCAGTGTCAATGCTAAGAAACAGTAATCGTGATTGTTTTCCTTTTAAACAGATTTCACATATACCAGATATGGGATACTTTGCAAAGTGACCCATTTTTCTATGCATTAGCACATTATGTTCAACAGCTGTAATTTGTGCTTCTGGTAGATGTCTATATCTTAAGTTAACACTATACAAGTTAATTGTTAACCAGCTTATCACAGCATGATTTCCTTTCATTATTGACTTGTTTATCTTTGAAGACCTGCTTCTTCCTTTTTCTTTACAGACATTAAATTATATGAAAGTTGATTACATACCCATACATTTTTCCTCTCAATTTTGTTACCATTTACTGCTTGTAGATTCAAATCACCTTGTTTTATTGCCTCAATAATTGACCCCTTCTTTGCAACATTTATGTCAACATTACTTCCTGAATATTATCTAAAAACTTTTAACATCATTTGTACCTAAGTAGTTTGTACCATCACTGTCTATTATGAAATTTATTTCATGAAATTGTGAGTAGATAACTAAGATAACTTCCTCTGCGGTCAAAAATGTTACCTTTTCGCCAATTTTTTGTTGGGAATTCCCTATTTCCATTTTATTTTTCCAACACTGATAGCGATTGTGCCCCATTTTTCCACAGTTATAGCATTTAAATTGAAATGGTTGATTATTTCTCACATTACCATTGCCTGTTCCAGCTTTATTATTCCATTTATTCCATGGCTGTTTATTTGCTACAAAGCAACATCAGGATTTATTTCACTATCATTTTTATTGTGCCTTGCCTCTTCCATTAGTAGCTTGTTTTAACAAGTCTAATGTAACTTTAGTTTCATATTGACAAGACATAATATCAATTGCTGTAGTAACTACTTGATATGCTTCAGGCATTGCAGAGAGTAACAACTGTGATACAACTTCACTATCTTGTACTTGACTTCCTGCACTTTTAAGTTCCCTCACAGTTTGATTGTTCCCACATGTTAAAAACATATTTAAAGATACTGTTGTGTATTTCAATGACTTTAGCTTGTGTTATAGTTGAACCTGTGTCAAAATTCCCTTCTTTTGGTAAGTATTTTCCAATGTACCTATTATCTCTTTAGCTGAGGTATTTGATTTAATCATTTTCAATACATTGTCATACAAACATTGCACAATTAGATTCTGGGCTTTCATATCATTTTTCTTATATACTTCTCGAGCCACTTCACCTGCAGGTTCATCTTGGGATAGGAACAGGTTAAGACACCAGCCTGTTCTAGTAACAATTTTAATCTGTTTTTGTTTTCTGATTACCACTATGTCTAAATTTCCACAACTCTGGGACCATAACCTTTAGGAATTCATGATGGAAAAAGTGTGCTTATAGATGGAATACTAAACAATATGTTGACAAAAATAAATATTTTAACACAATTCCTGATTACCATCTCTCTAGATTCTGCTTCTTGATGTTCACACTAGTGTCACTAACAGGTGGTGCCAACACTTAACACATAAAATATACAATATAGAATTGTAATACCAACAAATGCTAGGTTTACGTACTGTAGAATATTTGATATTTAGTAATAAAGACATGAATAATATTGTTTTGCTATGACTTACCTCGTTGAACATCAGCATCTGTAACGGAGCCTGATTTCAAAACTTTAACAGCTGATTGAACTGCTTTGCCTACGGATCCAGCAGGTGCAGCAAGCAAAATACCAAACAAACCACTGTCTGAATAGCTCACATTAACAGCGCAGGCAGATACATCTGATGATCCACCAAGAGCTTTGCTGTAGACTCCATTATCAAGTACACCATATTTGATCTGAGGGCCAGCACATACAGCTTTCTGTAGAACTGCAAATGCAAGAGCTTCTTTGGTGTTTTTCAAAGGAGCTCCTTCTCCTCCAACTGCAACAAAAGCAAGTGGTCCACCTTTGTTTGATCTGCAAAAAGAAATATTTGTCATATTCAGTTCTATCTTTGTATAAAGAAACTTTTTAATTTTGTTATCCAAAAAGAGTTTTTCTTAAACATCAACATAATAATTGATATGGTTTTCAAAAAGCAGTGTATAAAGCTGGGTGAAACTGCTAATAGTATAAACAAATCAAAGGAATATGGTGGTCACATTCTGTACCAAAACTTTAACAAGAAAAAGCTTTGTACACAATAGTGTTGTGTGTTCACTGCTGATCAGAAAAGCATTCATATGATCTTGGTATTGATGGAAAAAAATATTTTTTGCATTGATATAAAGGATAACATGAATTCACACACCCAAAATCTTGACTGATCTTGATTATTTAAAAAAAATAAAACTTCTTTAAAAGCATAAATTTTCATTTTTAGTATATGGCCAAGAACTTTTCTGGCCACACTTGTAGTTTAGATTAATAAAACACAAATACAAAACCACACTGAACAAGTAGTTGAGTCCCATTTTTAGGTTATAGTCTACAAAAAACATTAACAATTTATTAAAGTTTTGAAATAAGTTTATTACCTGAGTTCACCACCTTTGTAAGGGGATGGATTGGTGCTGCCTTCACCATTTGGAATTTCCAAACTAGCAGCAAATTGATTTAACAAACTTTCGCTTATACCTGTACCAACAACTGCAGCACGGCCAGCTACAAAGTTGTTAGCTACATAATGTTGTAATGTTTCAGATGAAACTTTTCCCACTTGAGACTTTGGAATGAAGAGTGAGTTACCTAACCCTTTGCTACGGTAGGCAGCATTGTGAAGCAAATCGATGGCTCTTAACTGTAATAGGAAAAAATGTATATTACAAAATTTTACCAAAATATAAAATATCTGAAGGGAAAAACTATGAATTTATGTGATAATAATAAGGAATAATCTAGAGATTTTGTCTTTAAATTAATAATACAGTTAATACATTTAACCAGTAAGAAATACTACAATTACTGTTAAAATGAACATACTTGTAAAGGTCTGGTTAAAATATCCAAAATTAATCTGTTGGACAGTTCTGAAAGTTCCCAAGGTCTAAATTCTTGGTTGGTAGCTACTTCTGCTAGATATGGTAGAGCCTTTTCAACAGCACTTCTTGTTCCTTCCAAGGTATAGGATATGGTTTCTCTATCAGATGTGGCTGTAAGATTTGCACCAACTTGTTGAATGTTTCGGATTATGGCAAACTGAGATGCATTTTTAGTGGATAATCCTGCTGCTATTCTTACAACATGAGTGGCACCTAAATTATCAGCTTTTTCATTACGGCTTCCAGCTCTGAAAAATGCAGAAATAGGACCTATGTAGGACTATACTTTTAATATCTGATCTAAAATATGTGGTGAACACTGGCCAGCCGGTGTAAACTGTCATGTATTTAACATATATATTTATTACAAACCTAAACACAACTGAAACTCTTGTAAGACTGGCGTCATTATCTACTGCTGCAACAACTAGTTTGTTGGGAAGAGTACAAGTTTTTGGTTCAACACTTGGATTACCAGATACTGGCAGGACTTGAGAATAGCTTCTTGCCTAAAAGTTTTACATTTCATATATCTAATATATTTACGTTTTTGCTACTTACGGAAATTGCTCGCAAGATTGGAGTTCTTGTAATAGTTGAAGCCATACTTCTCAATGCTAAAATTGAAAAATTTTGTTACATAATTTTGACCTAACCTTTACACAAAAATAAAAATATTCTATATTGTTTCTATTCATACATATCAGTTGCTTTAATATGAATAGAAAAGAAACAAAGATAAAAGGACTTACAAGTTGTGTGAAAACTTATAAAACAAATATATTTCTTCCCTAAATTTTCAGAATTTATTACCTGACAGCATAATCTGACAGAAGTGACAGGACAAACGTCTGCCGTCTGCGCAAACTTTTTGAATTTGAATGGGTTACATATCCATTGACATATTGACAATTGACAAAAGTTTTAGAACATATGAGCCGCGATAACAAAAAGAAAAAATTATGATTTTGCGCTATTCACAAAACGATTTTAATTAACTATAAATTCAAAATTTATTTTCACTGCATATTTCTTATAAAAGCTGATGCCTCCCTCAAATTATTTCCAAATAATTTTTACATAGAAAATCGTTTATTTCTTTTGGAAGACTTCCTTTTGAAAGATAAACTGGACTGTGTAGTTGTGTAAAAGTGACACTGTTACAAATCAAAAAGCTATTTGGTATGTTTAAAATAAATAAATGCAATGAAAATAAATAAAATTTAGAATAAACATGAAAAACAGAAGCAGAAGAAATTGTTTGTTATTCTGTATTAGTTTATTTTATAAAAAAAATGTTATGTGCGGTCAGCCATCAGCATCTTATAGAAGAAGAAAGGCGAATTCATGATAACTAATGATAAGATAAATTAAATTATGACTCACACCCACACAGATTGTCACATCACACAGGTGTTATCACAGGGTGTCAGAGTTGTTATGATTGTGGATAGGATCTGGGAAAGCTGAAAAAGATTACTTAAATATAAAGATTGATAAATTAACAGTATATAGAAAAAGTAAATTTATTTTCAGTATTGTAATTTGTAATCATTATTGTTTTAGATTATTAATATCTCAAATATGGAAAATAAGAAAAATGTATGTGTGGTTGTTTTGGGAGATATAGGAAGAAGTCCTAGAATGCAGTATCATTCTTTATCTCTGGCAGAAGTAGGACACACAGTTGACATAATTGGATATGGAGAAACTGAACCAATGGAAGAAATTAAAAAATCTTCCTCAATCTACTACCACTACTTGTTATCACCGCCTACTTTACCACATAAATTATTAAATTATGTACTTAAAACCATCTGGCAAACTCTTAATTTATTATTCTTGCTAACAGTTACTAGAAAACCTGATATACTTATTGTTCAGAATCCACCAGCAATTCCTTCGTTGTTAGTTTGTTGGCTGTTTTGCTTAATTTTTAGAAGTAAGTTTGTTATAGACTGGCACAACTATGCACATTCCATAATGGCCTTAAATCTTCCCAAGGATAATATCCTAGTAACTATTACAAAAAAAGTAGAATATTTTGCTGGAAAAAGAGCTGATCACAATTTTTGTGTTACAAATGCAATGAAAAAAGATCTCAGTGATAATTGGAATGTAAGGTAAACAAATTTAAAATTTATTGATATATTTTCATTCAGGGTTCTGTCTTTTTTTAAACATTAGTTTACAATCTAAAACTATAATTTTAAAATACACATTGACATATATATCTGATTGTTCACTTTGATTTTAGTGCCACAACCTTATATGATAAACCACCAACAATTTTTAAATCAATAAGTTTGGAGGAAAGACACAAGTTTTTGAGCAAGTTAGGAGAAACTTACAAACAATTATTGTGTGATGATGGTTCTACAGTTTTTACAAAAGATACCAGTACTGGTGTAAATATTAAAAATAATAGACCAGGATTATTAGTATCTAGTACCAGCTGGACTGAAGATGAAGATTTCTCTGTGCTGTTTACAGCCTTGCAAGGTACATAAAAATTTTCAGTTAATATTATCAGTTTTAAATATCTTCTTAATTTTTTTAATGAATTCAAATAACCAATTATATTAAATTTTAATATCTTTGCATATATACACTTGGTTTCTTTAAATGCTCACAATAACTTGGCATTATAATTTTCAGAATATGAAAATCACATTGTAGAAGGAAATGTAAGAAAATTACCTCCCCTATTCTGTTGTATAACTGGTAAAGGGCATCTTAAAGAATACTATTGTAAAAAAATTGAGAGAGAAAATTGGAAATATGTTAAAGTTCTAACCCCTTGGCTTGAATCTAAAGACTATCCATTGATGTTAGCTTCTGCAGATTTGGGAGTGTGCCTTCATACAAGCTCAAGTGGTTTAGATTTGCCTATGAAGGTAGTCGATATGTTTGGATGTGCTTTACCCGTTTGTGCCTATGACTTTAAATGGTTAGTTTCTTATTATAAGCTGTTGACATTTTAATGCTATCACATTGGATTGATTTATAGCTGTAAATCAGTGTGTAACAAAAAATAAGTAATATTGAAAGTATCATATCAACCTTATGGAAGAATTACAACTCAAAAATCGTAATTTTCCAGTAGAGCTATTTAAACATTTTTTGCAACAAAATGTTTGATACTGTTGACATCCTTTAAAATCTAAAATTGGTTTTATTGCACATATATAGCTTTTATCTTTCACTTAAAACCTTGGACTACACAATATTCCACAAAATAGTAGTTTTAGAAAAAATAATAGTTGTAACCCTTTGAAATATAAATGATATTTATGATCTTGTAACAAAATAACTTTAGGACTTATGAATTTACCTAGTAATATTATCTTTATGTTAATGATTTTATATATTTTTTGCAAAATTTTTTGAACTTCATAAACTAAAACTGTCACATCATCGGCAGTCTTCTGTTTTGTCGTTTTGTTTTTCTTCTCTGCTGAATACCTTTTCCTTTAAATATGTTCGTCTTCCAATTTAGCTTTCTCGGCTTCTAAACAATTGCGATACTCCAAATACAACTCACACTGATCCTTCTTTGGTACACGAAAAGATATGTTATACTCCTCCTTACAGATTTTGCTGTAAAATTGTTAATTTCCGTATTCCAATTACTCCTCTTGATATAATTTTACATAATCTCTATGTAAATCTGACAAAGTTTTTCCATCTTCTATAAATTCGCGGAAAGTATTAGCTCTGCAATAGTGAGTCTGGACTCTCGGAATTGAATCTTGTTCTACCTTATCTGTTTGTATTTACCGCTACCTATCTTTTTATGATTTCTGTGTTTTCCTCTTCTATCTACATCAATAATCTTACCAGATTCACAAATACTTTGTTTTTTGAGTACAGTCTGAATAGTTCTACTGTTAATTGCTAAAGTTGCCATAAAATATGTTTTGCCCAGAAAAACTTGTTCTAACAAAATATTATGTTCCATACATTATAACATATACAATTAATAACTTTAACTAAGCATATTGTTAAATTTCAAATTTGTTTTAGTTTGAATGAATTGGTTCAACATGGAAAAAATGGTTTTAAATTTAGCACACCTGAGGAATTATCCAAGCTCTTATTGGATTGGTTTCAAAACTTTCCTAATGATCCGGTTCAACAAGAAACAGAACGAAAATTCAAAAATGAACTAGAGACATTCCAAAAACTAAGATGGAGAGAGAATTGGACTCAATGTGCAGCTCCTGTCTTTTCATAGAAGTATGTACTTGAACTTTCCACAATTAGATTGGATTTATTTTCATATAACTATTGTAGAACTTACATGAAGTAGTTTATTTTTATAAACGAAATAAAAATTTGAAAAATAAGTTTAGTAATTATTATTTGACTTTTAATAATACATGTATTAATAGGATAGTGATACCGAATATATAGACAGTGATACAGAATTTCTAAAGTAAAAAATAAAAACTCCAAATAGATACACAATGACTTCTAACAATGCACTTGAGAAAATTATAAATGAACACCAGACACAATGTATATAGATGCTGCCCATCGGATCAAATTCGCGAAAAGAAAATTTCTCAAGAACGAGAAATTTTTTGAAAAATATTTTTTTACAGATGAGTCCTTGTCCACAATTCACAAGAAAGATAATTCATTCGTTGTACTTGGTCTCAGGAAAATAAGCATTTGAGTGCGTACACAGTATCCACAAAAATAGTTGAATGTTTGAACTGGAATTTTAGGAGACCAAATGAATTTTATTGGTCCTTTTTTCATTGAAGGCAATTTAAAAGCAGTCAAATATCTCCAATTGCTGCAAAATCAAATTATTCCTGCACTTCAGCGTCTTCAAATTAACTTTAACGAAATTTGGTTTCAACAAGACGGCTGTCCTGCACATAATGCAAAAGCCATTAGAGACTATTTAGCGTTAATTTTTCCTGAACATGTCATTAGTACAGACGGTACAATAAAATGGCCCCCTCGGTCACCCGACTTAGTTCCTCTAGATTTTTATTTTTGGGGGATGCTAAAAACGAAATTGTACCGACGAGCCACCAACTTGGAGGAACTGAAGGAAAACATAATCCAACTTAGCCAAAACATATCGGCAGATGAACTCTACGCCATGAGAAAAGCGTTGTATAATAGATTTGGTTATTGTTCGTTACAATTTGGTGGTCTGTTTGAACATTTAATCACAGTATAGTTGTGTTGTTATTTATACTGTGATTTAATTACCTAAGAATTTTATTTGGTTTAAAATTTCTTGTTAATTAATTGTTTGGAATTAAGTGTTAAATAATACCGCCAAGCCAATATAAGACACATAACCTCATAACTCATAAGTCAATAAACATTAAACCCGCCAAATTTTAAATTAAGACACGTCCTCTCACCAATCACAGCAAATGTACCCCGCTAGGTATACTGTTTGCTCGTAGTGCTCGTATTCTATTCTATGCACAGACAACTAATAACGAGGTAGGTGATTTGTGATTCTATGTCAGTTATATGATAATCTATGTTCTGTGTTTACTATGTGACCTCTGTCCGAATCCGATGTCCTATGTCAAGTCAATTGTGTGGTTAAAAGTAAAACAAAGTTAAAATAGAAAAGTAATAATAAATACATCAGTAAATTATTTTCAAACAATTAGAAATACCTCAAAAGTATAATGGCACAGGTGAGGCTTCAGGTAAGCAGACTATTGTTAACATTCAATTGTGTCAATTATCACTATTTGCTTTTCTTCGTATTTAAATTACAAATAGGTTCTAGAAAAAGGAGTAAAACCTGAGAAATGATAGAGAAAATTTGTGGAAGAGAGTCGAAGAGAAGAAACATTTAGATCCTACTTTTCAATTGTATACTTTCTACTCTTTTAAATCGGGCCTTTCTAAGCAGTACTTCTTTTTCAATTTTGGTTTGGAATAGTTTCAATACATAACCTGTACTTCATGAACAATTTTATCACTTCTTTATTTTAGAATATAAATTTCTATGCTTTTTTACTTAACTTTTCATTACTTTTTTGTAAGTTTGTTAGTCACCGTTTTTTCAATAAATGGTAACTCTTCCTTAACTTTCATCCATGTTTTGAATCTTTTGTGTATAATGCATACTGTTAAATTCTGCTTAATTTACTGTTTTGGTGTTTTTCAATTGTCTGTACACACGAAATAGTTATTCTGTTCATTACTTGTTAGTCATACTATATCGGTACTTACAATATATCCCCATTGAAGTGCATAGTTCACTATTTTCACCTCAACAGATAGGACATGTGTATAATGTACTGTGTAGAATGGAAATATACTTGTATATTTCCACTATACATGATTAAAAACATATTTTTGTCAAGTGATTTACTAGTTGGCCCACCCTTGCATTCTTTTAATTCATTTACATATTTATGTACTGAACAATTTTGGTGTAATCCACAACTTCATGGGTTAGCCCATTCACGTTTTTAAATTTTTGTCATTTTTGATGATGCACAATTAACTAGTGGTGGGTTGCGATTTCACGAACTGCTACTTTGTCACTGCTACAACGCTGTCACAGTCACAGTCCGCTACATCTGGAATAATATAGCAGTGACACTCAGTCACGTTTTAGTCTACTGTGACTGCACCACTTCGGTCCGGTGTACGCTACACAAGACGTTGCGCTGGTCCATAGATCGTAATTGCGACAGTGACAAGCCTTGTTGACGGAGCATTTTCAAAATGGAGCAGTCGCTCTCATATGGTGACTGTGACTATTATTTGCTATTTGTAACATAAGGAACGACGTGGTCGAGCGTGGGAAAATAGCACCGTTAAAAATCCGTAACAAGTTATTTTCTAAGTCATATTAAATTATCATAAAGTAAAAAACATAAGAATTGAATAAAATAAAATCAATATATCTACTTATTTCTAAAACTTTTAAGGGCAAAATCACAATAACCAAAGATAAAAATAAAATAGTGGTACAAAAAACAACGCAGTACAAAAAATATTGCCTAAAATAATTTTTTTTATAAAGTACTATAGTAAAGTTTTATAATAAAGTCTATAATAATATTTTATAGTAAAGGTTTATAATAAAGTAAAGTATAACATATATAATTATAAATAAAGTTTTGTTTTGTTTTAACATAAAAATACAGAAACTAATAATGATAAAGAACCTACTGACTATATATAATACTTTTATAATACAAACCTTATAATAAACAAAAATAAAGAAAACAACAAGCATGTCTTTTGCTTAAAAAATAAGGTAAAATAAAATATATTTTCGAATATTCAAAGGTAGCAATAGTAGCAGGGTAGCAGTTAAGATTAAACTGCTCCAAAAAATCACTGCTTTTTGTCACCGTGACAATACTGGAGCAGTCACATTTTGTCACAGCTACACAAAAATCGCAGGTTGGCCCACCACTACAATTAACCTGTTAGGCTAAAGCGATATATGCTGTATGTATGCCAAAAATAGATCACTTGAGAAAGGCAGTCTGCTGAATTAGCTGTACATAATAATATACATATTATAATAAATTTTGTGGATTTTTGAAAACAAAAGTTTTCAGTGTTTTATAAAATCAATTTCCATCAAGTAGCAATCAAATCCATCAGTTATTTTTTTATAATTTTTTTTTATAGAATGCTGTGGAGCCAATGCAAGTTGATGCACCACCTGAAGATAATGATAACAATGAAGAAGATATCTATGTAGTTGAAAACCCAACTTTAGATTTAGAAGTGTATGCAAATAGTTATGTTGGATTAGCAAAGTTATACAGGCTAATTTACATAATAGATCACTGTCCATCTCTTAAACTAGAAGCTTTAAAAACAGCTATATCATATGCCATGACAACATATAATGTAAATTTGTATCAAGTTTTACATCAAAAATTAGCTGAAGTTACAACAGCTATGAATGTGCCTGACGTAGCTGCCCAATCCACTTCTCAAGATATACCAACAATTGATAACATGTGGATGGAAACAAGATCAAAAAGAGCAGCCCTAAAGCTAGAAAAACTTGATAATGATCTAAAAAACTACAAATCAAATTCAATCAAAGAAAGTATTAGGAGAGGACATGATGATTTGGGTGATCATTACTTGGACTGTGGAGATCTTTCTAATGCATTAAAATGTTACTCAAGAGCTAGAGACTATTGCACAAGTGGAAAACATGTAGTAAATATGTGCTTAAATGTTATAAAAGTATCAGTTTATTTGCAGAACTGGTCACATGTATTAAGCTATGTTTCAAAAGCTGAAAGTACTCCAGATGTTTCTGAAACACAAACAAAAGACTCTAATCAAGCCATAGTAACTAAATTAAAATGTGCAGCTGGTCTTGCAGAACTGGCAACAAAAAAGTATAAATCAGCAGCGAAACATTTCTTGCAAGCGAATTTGGACCATTGTGATTTTCCAGAATTGCTTTCACCAAATAATGTTGCCATGTATGGAGGTCTTTGTGCTCTTGCTACATTTGATAGACATGAGTTGCAGAAGAATGTAATTGGTAGTGGATCATTTAAGTTATTTTTGGAATTAGAACCTCAATTGCGTGACATAATTTTCAAATTCTATGAATCAAAATATGCGTCTTGCTTAAAACTATTAGATGAGGTCAAGGATAATTTGCTTCTTGATATGTACATTGCTCCTCATGTTAATACATTGTACACTCAGATTAGAAATAGAGCATTAATTCAATACTTTAGCCCCTACTTGTCTGCTGATATGCACAAAATGGCTGTAGCTTTTAATAGAACTGTACCTGCATTAGAAGATGAGCTGATGCAGCTTATTCTAGATGGACAGATCCAAGCTAGAATAGATTCTCACAATAAAATTCTATTTGCAAAAGATGTTGATCAACGCAGTACAACTTTCGAAAAGGGTTTATTGATGGGGAAAGAATATCAGAGAAGAACTAGAATGCTGATATTAAGAGCAGCCATTTTAAAGAATAAAATTCATGTGAAGGTAAGTTAAAAGTTTGGGCATTGGCTGTTCAAGTCTGTAATGCATGTGAGTTTGTTTATTATTTCAAACTATTTATTAATATGTTAAGAACATTATGTTAAAAAAAATTCAAATTTTTAAAATGAATGAAGAGAAAAATGTAATATGGAATGGATGATTCAGTGTAAATGCATTTAGTTTTTGTTCCTGCTGTCTATCTATCATTGGTCTCCTATCGATTGTCAGTTTTGTATGTTAGTAAAGTGGCTATCAAAAGTTCCTTAGCTTGAAAAGTGACTACTTATTTTTGTACTGTCCAAACATATTCGAAATTCTTTTAATCCTACAAATGAAAATGTAGCCATAGATTTTTTGGAAGATGTATACTCTCCTTGCAACTCTTTATTTTTATTACCTATTAGTGATACTGAAATCAGGAATGTTTACATAGATTAAAAAATTCACGCTACACGGATTTTTATTTTTTAAACAAAAAAGAATTGTGGAAACAATCAATATAATTATTGACAAATTAATTATACTTAATTGCCTTACTGAAGGGATTTTCCCAGATTTATTAAAAGTAATAAAAGTGCTACCAGTGTTCAAAAAGGGAGCTTTAGATGAAATTGGAAATTATCGTCCCATCTCAATCATTCCCATTTTTGGCAAAATTTTTGAGAGTATTCTAAATGTTCGTTTGATAGAATATCTAGAAAAACACAAAATACTTCACTGTAATCAATATGGTTTTAGAAAAAAGTGTGAGCACCTGCGTATGCTGCTAATTGGGTAGATTTGTTTGTATGGTATTTCCGCTCAACATCTAATTACATATTCAAGAACACGATTAAAGAGCGTTGAAGCCAGTCCGTTGCCTTGTTTCAGTCCTTGCGTTATCGTAAACGCATCAGTGATCTGTCCTTGAATACATACCTGTGCTTCTGTTTCTGTCATTGTCAGTTGCACTAGTCGTATTAATTTTGATCCTATTCGCTCCGTGCGTGACTGACGCGACACCTACCGCCTTCAACTGACAATTTTGGAGTCCCAATTTTCAGGTTAAACATATGACATATGTTTGACATTGTTAAATACATGCGACATTGACAATTATTAATAAATTAGTTTTTAACTATATGTTTTTCAGTTTATGTACAAAATAAATGTACTATTAAAAACTGGGTTTCTCAAAATTCATCATAATATATCTTTTCAACTCCAAACGGAAAAGATAGGGAAAAATCTACTACTGGCAAATCAAGTTTTTTACACAAAAGAGCATATAATTAAAAACAGTAATAGTAACAGTTATAATATAAAAGCTAAAGTCATCTGCAGTTAGCTTGAAGCCTTATGAAATATCATTCAAGGTAAATTATTTAAATTTTTCCTATTTCAATTGCATAAAAATGAAATTATGTCATATTTACTTTTTCATATTAATAGCACGAATTCATCTTTTTCTTTTCTCTTATTTATATGTAGTCTTTGGGAACCTATAAAAACTGCACTCACTGTTTTTGCTATTATTAGCACAATTAAATACGCAACATGTATTTCCACACATTTTTGATAAAATTTATGCGTAAAAATATTTTGTCCAATATTCCAATTTTGTCATATTTCGCCGCTACGCACGCTGGTTTCAATGTACCCCTACCATGGTCACGTACGGAGCGAATATATTAGGTAGAATTGTTATATCTATTGAATCATAGGCTTGTTTACAATCTACAAAGAGATTGTAAACGTTTGTGTCGTATTCCCATGCTTTGGCTAGTATTTGTTTAACTGTAAATAGTTGGTCAATGATAGAGCTATTTTGCCTAAACCCAGCTTGATATTCCTCGATGATTTTTTCCGTGAGAGGTTGAAGTCTTCAATTAATGATGTTTGTGAGTATTTTGTATCTCTAACAAAGTAAAGAGATGCCTCTATAATTCTGGCACAACAGTTTGTCTCATTTTTTATGAATAGGGCAAATTATACTTTTCTTCCATTGTTGGAGGATTTCTTCTTCTATTCATATCTCTCGTATTAGCTGGTACATCTGTTGTGTCAAATTCCTTCCTCCTTTGCTTGAGTAGTTCTGCCGGTATTTTATCTATTCCCGGTGCTTTATGGCTTTTTTGTATGTGGATTGCCGTTTGTACCTCCTCTAGCGTTGGGGGTCTAGTTAATTCATTTTCTTTTCCATCTTCCCTCAGCTCTTGTTGTTGTATCTCCTGCCGTGCCTACTGCTGCCTGTTGTAATGGTGGTTGTGTCCCTTTGTTTAGTAATTCCTTAAAATATGTCATCCAGGTTCTCTTAATTTCCTCCATATCGCTAATGATTTCACCCTTTTTATTTTTGCAGAGGCTAATCTTCGGTTTGTATCCCTGTCTTAAATGTTTGATGAATTGGTATGCACTACGTGTTTCGTTTTCCTTAAACTCCCTCTCTATGTTTAGTGTCCGTTGGTTTCGTACTTTCTCTTTTTCTGCCTGCACAGTTTATCTTCCTCTGTTACGTCAAACATTTCAGTTGCACAATTTTCTCTTGTGCTTGGAGATTGTAGTGGGAACGTTACGTGCTCGATAAACCCGGCCCATTAGAAAGAGCACTGCTTTGCGTAATTTTTCTCTGTCACACTGGAGGAACGGCTCTATATTGCAGCACTCAGTCTAGGTATTACATGTCTATGGTTACGATCCTTTCTACATAGCATTAACAAAACTATCACAAATATGTAATTTTTATTGTTATTGATGTTTTTATTTATATTTCAGAGCCCACAGAGGGATTCAAGTCAAGCAGGAGAAATAACTGTGGTACCATTTTGAAAATCAACTATTTTCTTTTTTTGTGTATGCATAGCAGTTCACGTTTCAGTATATTCAGTTTAATGGCGAATTATTTTGTTTTGTAATACTTACATATAACAAAAAATTGTCTGAGCTTGTAGAATATTTAAATTTTTTTTCATATAAAAGACTTTATTTTGTGTGTTAAGTTTTATTTCGGATTATTATATACCCTACATAAATAAATGTGTTTAGAATGTCACTAATAACACAGTTGTGTAAATTATTTATATAATTTATCCACATGTGAATCATAAGAGACCAAATCTCGTAAATTATCTTTGACTGTATTCGAAAAGTACTTTGAAAGAATACTCGTCAAACACTTTGTAGCAGTTTATGATAATGGGATAAAAATATGCTCAGATATAATTCAAATTGTATAGCATGTATCAGATGTCCCGGATAGAATACAAAAAGTTTGAAGACGATATTAGCAAGGAAAAAGGGTATGGATAAATTTCTTTAAAAAATTTTCCAAGTGTTTGGCTACGTCACTGGTAGTCAAATATTTTTTCCCGTAAGTAATAATCCTACCGGGTAGTTTTACCCTGAAATTCGGATAGGTGAGGTTTGCAAACTGCATTTTGAATGCAGTTTGCAAACAGTACGATTTAGACTCTACCGAGCATCGACGCCGCTTTTGATTAGTTTAGAGTATTAACTCTTGCTTATATTTGTCATCAGTACGAGTTTAGACTTTACGTTTAGTTCACCGAGTGTGGTGCCGCTTTTATTAAGTACGATTTTAGAAACCACCGAGGGTGGACGCCGTTTTTAATAAGTAGGGTCAGTGTGTAATTGGCAATATGGCAATGAACATACACAGAATTGCAATTCCATCTTTGCTTATTCTGTGAAACGACATTCAGTTGTTTACAGGCCAAGTGAATCCCCATTTTGTTCAACTTAAATTTGATTGTTTTTAAAACACAAATCTATTTAGAACAGTGCTAATATTTTACAGATTTCATCTCTCTGTATTAGGTAAGTATAGTGATTATATAATTTATAGCTACTATGAGAATCCTTATATTGCCTAAAATGTTAATTTGAAGGTTATGTAGTACAAGAAGTAAGTAGGGGAAAGGAGGGCAAGATGACGATAGTAAGCTTAAAAAAATCCTAGAACTGATATTTTTCCTTGTATCGAATGCATGCAACTACAAGGTAATTGGCTGATAATAGTACTTTACATATTAAAATTAGATTACGTAAGGGTTAATATTTCAAATTAAAATTTTAAAATTTATCCACCTATGTCATATTCGTCATCTTACCCTTCGTGGAGGGTAAGATGACTAATTGTGAAGGGTAAGATGACGAGGTATGCCTATTCTAAGAAAAAAAGGCAGTTATATATATATATATATATATATATATATATATATATATATATATATATATATATATATATAGGCAGGAAAGTAAACAAATTAAAGAAAAAAGCATTTATTCTGTAACTAATGCAACACTTTTAATAGGTCCTACATTTTTAAAAGCACCAATCACAAGTCCATTGTTTTACCTTTGCTTCTTGACAATCCATTCCAGTGCATTCAGCGTGAGCCCATTCCCTACACCTGCTGCAGCAATACCATAGCTCATCTTTTCCTCTTTCATTGCAGATTATGCAATCTCTTTCTTCCTCTGAATCGTTATCAGTGTCAGCATATTCCATATCTACTGACGAGTTAGACGAGTCGTCAAATTTTATTTTTCTCTTAGTCATTTTTCCTTTGCCTTTATTGAGAGTGAATTTCCTATTCTTTTGCTGAAAATTAAAGTCTTTGCTTCTATTTTGTTTTTGAATTTTCTTTTGTTCTTTTATATCCCTTTTCCTCTCTTTTGCTAATTTTGCAGCTTCCTTTTCTTCTAAAATCTTTACTATTGGTGTACTAGAAATAACGAGAGATGGTAATTTCTTTCTGGGTCGTTTTGCTCTCACTTCAGCAACAGGTAATTTAGGTAGACCATTATTCAATATATGATTTGATACATGAGGGGGTGTCTGGCCAGCTATTCCTGATGTAGATGGACCTGGCATATTTGAAATAGAAATATCTGAAATTTCGTCAGATATTTGAACAATTCTTGAGGTGCTGTTTCTTTTAAAACAGATATAGGTGACATTCCTTGAATATCTGGCATTTCCTCTTCGACCTCTACATTTTCCAAAGCAGAGGTAAATTGGAACTTCCGTTGAAATTGGTTTGTCTTTATTTGTTGGTAAAGATGCCTCAAAATCAAGTATATCAAACACCTGGCTATCAACAGGATATATGCCAGTGGCTCTAAAACCACTAAGAGCATTTGAAACAGTTGCTGCTTTTAAGTACGCTTTCCCAAATAGGTTTGCAATGTCATACAATGTTATAAGACGACCCGGATTACTAATCAAAAAATCTTCGCAAGCTCGTGAGTATGCTGTTTTCATAGGTCCATATATTGACACATCCAATGGTTGCATACGATGACTGGTATGCGGTGGGAAACCAAGTAGAGTAATGTGATTTTTCCGGCATAGCTTAATGACTTCCAAAGAAATGTGACTGGTGTGATTATCCATTAACACTAACACAGGTTTGTTTTCTCTTGGACAAGCGTGTTGAATGAAATGTTCCAAATATTTAACAAAATTTTCAGAAGTCATCCATCCAGAAGGATAAGCTACTGCCATGGTCCCTTCGGGCGCTCCATTTTTAAGAGCTGGTTGCATTTTTACTCTTGGAAATATTAGGAACGGTGGTATAAAATTTCCAACGGCATTCATGCCACAAACAGCAGTCACGTTAACTCCTCTTTCTGCCGAAGAAATTTTCACAACTCGACGGTTGCCTCTTGGGGTTAATATTTTAGGATCCTTGGTAGGTACTGAAGAAAAACCGGTTTCATCAATATTGTAAATTTGATTAGCAGAATATGAATATTTTTGATGCAATTCTTTGTATACCTTAAAGAAAATTTCCACATTTACTTTATTAAAAAGCCATTAATCTAGCAGCGGAAGTTGCTTCTGGTTTACGGAGTGAAAGATTAAATTTCTTCATAAAGGATTGCGCAAAGTCTTTACCAACCATTTTCTTTGTAGTGTTAAATCTATCAGCAACACCACAATGAACGGCAAAGTCGAAAGCAATTTTTCTAAACTGATCCGTGGTTAATCCAAATGCCCGTTTATCTATATCTACCACATATTTTTTAAGTTGATTTAGTTGTTCTTCATTAAATGTTGGTTTAAAGCGGCCAGCATTTTCAGGAAAATTCTGAAATATAAAAGTTGACTTTTAAAAATGAAAATAACTAGGATACACAAGTTACCTCATTAGGATATTTTTTAATATATCTTCTCAGAGTAGGTTCTGGAATATAATATGCTTTTGAGGCTGCATTGACACTTAACTGTTGAGCAGTTATTTTAGCCATTGCTCTTTTCATACTTTCTTTCGACCAAGATTGTCTGTCTGTCTTTCTTTTGTATATTTTGCCCATATTTTAATCTGAAATTGAAAATAGGTATGACTTACTGTTAATTTTAGTTAATTCGGGTAAGATGACGAATAACTCGTCATCTTACCCACAAGTGTCATCTTTCTTTCTAAAAATCGTAAAGTCAAATTTATTATTCATAACAAATATTTTCTGTGGGTAATTTATATGTAAAAGATATTAGTTTCGAACAAAAAATACAACAGTTATCCAATACTTACCAAAAATCTTTAAAACCTTATTTTCGAAAACAATAATATTGTTAGCCCTAACACAATATCAGTACCAGCACTTGTATCATACTAAACTCTGGCCGCTAACGTATTCGTAGTCAACGGCGAGAAACCTTGGAACATTTCTTCGGTCCTGACTGAAGACAGTGTTGCCAGAGTTGTATGTTGGAAAAATATCGGGAATTCGTCATCTTACCCGATTCGTCATCTTACCCCCCTTTACCCTACATTAAGTGTTTACAATTACCCCCATAAATATTGAGCATGGGGAAAATGAAAACACCTGTTGGGGGTAAATGGAAATCAATTGTTAAGGGAGTTATTTTGTTACAGGTCTTGCCATTTTCAAACTGCCGAGGAAGTACATAAGAAAGAGAGAACCACCAAAATACTCTTTGAATGATACTCGAAAGCCATAAATCATGATTTCTATTATAAACTAAAAGAAGTTGTTCAAAATAATGGCCTTAATGACATCAGTAAATCCATGTTTGTATTTAATGCTGACGAGAGTGGATTTAATAGTTATCCCTACAGAATTAGAGCTATGGGATCAAAGTGTAAAACCCTATGCAGGGCTATAAGAGGACAACTGATAATTTTTTTTATCTTCTTCTATCCATCTTGCTCAAGGGCTTGAACGAAATAATACAATTGTAGGAACAGTCAATAGAATTCGAAGAGAAATACCAAAATCCTTGAAAAATGAAAAGAGTGAGCTGTTTTCAACAAAAGCTTTCAAGCATAAACCTGCGTTGCAATTGGTTACCAAGGTTAAAGCAAATAAAAAACGTTATTTTATTTTCAACACGTCACTCGTCAGTAGCAATCGAAGAAGCATGAAAGAAAAAGCCAGAAATTATAAAATTTTATAATCAAAATAAATTTGGTGTCGATGTTGTCGAAAGACAATCAAACTTGTGAGATCCAGCGTCGCATAAGCTTGGGATAGGCAGCATTTGGCAAGATGCGAGATATTCTAAAAGGAACGCTACCGATTTGCTTGAAGAAAAAGGTTTACAACCAATGCATACTGCCAGTAATAACATATGGTTCCGAAACAATAACTTTAACCAAACATTCTGCAAATAAATTGAGAGTAACCCAAGAAAAATGGAAAGAGCAATATTGGGATATAACTAGAAGAGATATGGTACCAATAGGATAGTGAGAGAGAGGACTAAAGTGACAGATGTCATAGAAAAAAATTGCACAAGCCTAAATGAAGATGGGCTGGACATATAGCACGTTTAAATG